TGTGATATCATGTGAGAGTTTTCAGCTTGACTTGAATGTAATCTGTCTTCAACAGTTTTCTTAGGTGGAGCAGGGAAGAGGCGACGATTTTATTCAAATACAAATGAGGATAATCCAAACGGGTGAAACTTAAACACAAGGAAATACAAATACAGGGAAACAAACACAGAGGGGATTGTGACAGATTCCTATCACGGTATAATTGATTCACACTCCGGAACACATGGTGGCGGTAGTGGAGCAATAAGATAGATGGCAACCATCGTTAAAAGAAGAAGAAGAAGAATTTTGGAGGGAAATCGACTGTTCAAAGTCATGTGAGTATCAACAGATTTTAGTTATGTTTTGTGGTGATAGATTGGGTTTGTGTCATGTTAACCCTCTGGGCTTCTTCGGTCAAAAATGACCGAAAACTGTTACGTTTTGAAATGTTTAATTTTTTTGCTTGATCGGATCGGGCTGAAACTTGGTGACTTTTGTTGTATTACCTATATGAACACACAAAAAAATCAAGGAGATGATTCTGATTTGTTAAAGGGTCGTAAAAAAAAAAATCACACTTAGCTTCCTCCCGGTCAAAAATGACCGACATAGGAAATGAATGGGAAATAATAGGAAAACTCAGAGAAACTTTTGGTGGTACAAGCTACAGATCAGCAACTGTGCAGAAAAAAAGTGTACAGCAATGAAGGGGTGACACTGTAGAACATCAAGAGTGCAAATAAGACCACCCCCCCCCCCCCCCACAAACACACACACGCACACAAACACACACACATACACAGATAAACTGGCAAGACTGCACCAGCAAATTTGTAGAATATGAAAAATAAAATCAATAAATGAGAAAAAAATCTTGCTCAAATGCGCACTCACACACACACGCACACAGACATGAGAAATCATGTCTAAACCAACAAAAAGAATCAAAAAGCCTTTCTATGTATTTGAATAGGAAGCTATAGGCAGCCTACAGGCTGTACAGGACATTGCACACATGTAACTATTTTTTAAAGCCACTAGGTGGCGCTCTTCTACTTGAATTATTATTTTTTTAATTAGCTGACACTCTATTTTGATGTGAAATGTTGTATTTATTGAAAAAAACAATAAAAAAAACAATATAAAATAAAAATATGTATAATAATTCTAATGGAAAAAATAGCTCATAAAAATTATATAATTAATGCAAAGTATCATAAAAAATTCTAAAAATTCTAAATAATAATCATAAAATATTATAGAACAAAAATATATTTGAATGGTTATCCTGGGAAGAAGTAAAGTAAAATTTTAAGGCTTCGTCCGTTTTTGACCGGGAGGGGGGGGGGGGGGGGGGGGGGGGGGGGGATTTCTATGGAATTTCTATTTTCACCAATAGCAAACCACATCCATCCAATCAAATCCACATGAACAAAATCAAGCCCTGCCCTACATTTGTTCCAGAATATTTTACTTAAACATCACAATAGGAAAGAAAAAGACATCTGAACTTCCATTCCACACCGACTTTAAAACATTAAATCCTCTAGTTTGATATGTCTTAAAGGGGTCATGGACTGGCTTTTTAGATTTTTTTTTATATTGTTTTATATTGTCAACTTTATCATTTTGATGTTTCTGAATGTAAAAACCAAGCGAACGTCATAAGTAATAGGCTATTTTGTACCCTAGTTTTGAGCCTAGCTGAAAAACGCTTGGTTTTTATGGGCGTCTCGCACTGAAGACTTGGAAGTAAACACCCACTGCTGTGAGTGGATAACAGTTTTGCATATTATAATGAGTTTCAACTCACCCGTCGATGTACGTGGGGGAAATTGTTTTGAAAATGTCCAATGTTGTAAAATGGCAACTGGACTAATTCGCCCAATACATGCTTGACCCAGAGTCACAATTCATGTCAGATCATATATAGACGGCACGGCACCGTTGTTTACTCTTAATCGGTCTGCAAATCCAGTCTTGTTTCAAAACTATCCTCAGTGAAAGGAAGCGAACAGACGGAGAATGTTTCACCCTCATCAGCTGGAACGTCATTAACGTTCCTATTAGAATCCAGAGGAGCGACTTCGACAACCAGGCACTGCAATATTTTGTAAATGGCATGTTTATTGTTCAGTAGCTGATCTGGTTTGTCATCACGAGGTAGGCATCTATGTTATTTAGCTATGCGTGTAATGCGAGAATCGTTGGGCGGGGCTAAACCGGCCGTGTTGAAGTAGGCGTTGATCTTCTTCTGCAGGGCTGGTGTTTTATCCTCTTTGACATCATAGTTCCCCACTTTGAAAAACGAGTCGTTTGCAGAGGCTGGTGTCAATAAAAGCTTTTTTAGGACTAACAAGGATGTTTTCAGTTCTGAAACTTATAGGATATTCTTATAACATGATGACCTCTTAGATGTGCTCAAGGAAAATTAGATTTCTCAGTTCATCACCCCTTTAAATCTGATAATGAATTATTTTCATGTAAGCAAACCATCAGCCCCGCAATGATTCATTCCCATTCAGTTCATTTTCTCAGAATTGTGTAAATAATTATATAGTTATATTTACTAAAGTTTAAGTGCCTGATCTTGACCTGAACATATTTCTGAAAGTCTTTTTAACACAGAAATAAACACAAGGATACTTATTTTTCTACTGGTTACAGAGTTCAGTTGGCTTACCTGAATTGTAAGCGCGCTGCTATATATAGCTCACGCTCATTTTACATGTTTTCCACTGAGCTCACGAGACCAGAGCTGATAAACACTGAAAAACCGAGCGAGACATGATCCGCCACACCTGGATTCCCAACTATATAATGTTGTTGTTTCCGGTTGCCATGGAAACACATCCATGGTCAATTCAGCCCTCATTTGGACCCTTTCATTCTTCAACAGGTGCACACACTCCCATTTAATGTCCCTCATTTGGAAAGCACAATTCTGTTCCTTTGTATGTAAGTGGAGGCTGTTATCTCTGTGCCTGTTCAAAAACCGTCAGACCTTCACTAAGGTCAAAACTTCGAATATATATATATATATATATATATATATATATATACAAGTAAAAAACATCTTTCAATGTGAAAAAAACAATACACATGAATATCATACATAACGGTCTAGCATCTAAGCAAGCTTTATGTGCACCTATAACTCAGTTAAATGCTGTTTATATTCATTTCTTGTTGCTGGCAATAATCTAATTCTCAATGAATGACTTAAGCACCTCTTGCTCTTCACACTGTCACCTGATTAGATCACTGGCTCAAATGCTTTTTTTTAACAAGATGCAAAGCTTTCATGACTTGAATAGACACTTCAATCATGCGAGCAGTTGATTAGTATCAATAGCTTTTTGCTACACTTTAAAAATGATGCAATATATGCACACGCCGTTTATTTTGAAGAACGCATCATGTATAACCAAACAAAAATGACATGAATTATGACTCAGATGAATTCTCTGTCTTCACTGAAAGCCACTAATATTCACAGACGTGACAGGCTGACTTGATGAAAGCCAATCGTCAGCACTTTGTGACGGTTACCATGAGCACACAACACTCTTTCATGGCAAAGTCTCAATGCACTCTTGAAAATAAAGGTTCCAAACGAGGCTTTTGCTGCGATGCCATGGGAGAAGCCATTTTAAGTTCCCTAAAGAATCTTTCAGTGAACCGAACATCATTTTATAAATCTAAAGAACCTTTTTGTACTATTATGAACCTTATGTGCAATGCAAAGGAATCATTAATGCCACTAAAGAACCTTTACTTTTTAGAGTGTGTGGTTGAAACACATTCAGAGCCATCCAGACACTGATAAACATGATAATGATTTCACTTTCCTGATCTGAACGACATAGTGTTAAAGGTCTTATTTGTGAAATCCACAATATTTGATTCTGATTATTAGGTCGCAGCATGATTGACAAATGACTGCTGAACAGTATTGACCATTGACAGTCAATAGCGATTGATTCTTCTCACACAATAAAACTCTAATTAATATCTTATCTACATTTATTTATTTGGCTTGTCTTGATTAAAAGACCCCAGTGAAGGAATAAAAACCATATGTGGGCTATTTGAAAAACATTTGTTTTATACCTAAGTGTAGGTTACTAAAAAACATATTTACTTAATATAAGTATACATTGTACTTTGATACTATATTGATATAGAAACGAAAATCTTTAGTTATCTGGAAATAGTGTTGAGGTAAGTTTAAGTATATTTGACTGTGCTAAAGTGGAACTATTGGAAGTATACTTGAGGTAAACTTTAAACCTCTTGAATTTACTAATATTTTTACTAATATTAGTATGTTTGATAAGTCATTGAGCCCATGTTAATGGGTTTATACTTAATATGAAATAAATGTTGGCTATTTTTTTGGTATAGTTCTCTTTTTTTTTTACTATAGGGATGAGTTAAGCATTAAATGATAACACTAAAATTGTTTTTGTAATTGGTAAATATGTAACCATATTTTAAAAATCAAGGATGTTTTTTTAAAGGATTTTTTAAAATGGGAAATAAGTGGGGTAATTTAAAAAAAGTTTGAAATGATTAATCAAAACGATCTGAATACGACGATGCATTATTTAATACATGTAGTCTAGAATATGATTAGGCTATTTCATAATGTGACAATATTGTTTTAACAGCACATGAGGTAGAATTCTTTCTAGTATGCTTTAGCTGAAAGTATGTTTAGTTTATTAGACTACAGGCTCGTTTTGAGGGTTGTTTTGGACGTAAGGCTAAAAAATTAATTTGATTTAATATATGAAAAAATACACATTTCTTCTGACTGATTTTTCGCTAATTTTATTCGATGATATACTTCATCTCCCAGAATTCCCCGAGCAAAACCTCTTAACCATTCCTGTCCCACAGCAATGGAAGCGCGTAATTCGAAATAGCATCTTTTCAGCCAATACATCGACGCCGTTTATCCGCTCAGGAAAACGGACCAATGGCGCTTCGAAGTTTCCCCATAAGCCAATCAGTACGCTGCAGCGGTCGTGATGGGCGTATCCGTCTTCTGGCCAGTGAGCGTCCAGAGTTGATGTTTAAACTGTCCGCGCAGGCGTGGCTAAGCGATCGGGGGGAGGGGCTTAATGGAAGTTGCATGGTTGGGTCAGAGGAGAGTTGTGTTTTAAACAGTCCAACACTATTAGTTAACAGGAATTTAGTAGGCTAATCAGTAAAACTGATTTTATTAACTTAAGGTCTAATACTCAAAGATTTAAGTATTCATTTCGGATCACTGTGAAGCATTATCGCTGCAAACTGTCTTCTCTAGCAGTAATCCTTCCTTGAAATGAAAGCGGGCGGTAAGTAATTAATCTCATCGAATAATTATTTTTTCAGTTGTAAATGCCTGTGTTCATATTTCATCAACATTGATGAACATTTTTGATTACATCATAATCAGAGCTGACGTTTTATTTATGTTTTTAAATGCTTAACGTTAGTTACAAAGTTGAGACGTAACGTTACTGACCCGTTAACCTGTATATAATTGAAGTAAACTTTCATTACCTGAATATAAATATTCTTCCCACATCCATAAGTGTGTTATTGAATTGTCCTTAATACATTCTGAGGTAATATCTCCTAAAGATAGGTCAGTTGTCCCCTGTCTCATAACTGGTTTATGAATAAGGAGGGAAAACTTGCTACTGGTGTGACTGTGAGCATGTCAAAACTGCCATTGGAAACTAACAAAATGATTAGTTATTAATTAGTTTATAACTATGTTATGTACTAATGTATCTTTAAGCTTTTAAAAGAGTTTAAACCGTAAATAACCTCATCTGGTGACCTGTATTCCGCAATACAACATCATCTTATGATACAAACATGTTTTAATGGGCTTATAATATTGTATTCACAGTCATGCCATAAAGCAATTTTGAATTTGATATTCCTTGAAGTACATTGGTGTAAGTTAACAAGTATATAACGTTACCATAGTATGAGCAGTAATATTGGCACCACACTTTTACTATCTTTACTATGCCACACTAGTAACGTTACCACTAAAGTACTTTTTACGGTGCTAAACCAATAAAGTATTTTGTTTATTTATATTTAATGGTCAGTTTCGATATCTAGCTGGCAGAGTGACTAATATAATGCCGAAATTCTTTATTAGATACAGTTTAATGCCATAAAATATGATGTAGCCTATCTGTGAATACTTGTATTAGACTCTAAATAAACTAAAACATTAAAGACCAGAACATGTGCACTATTATGTGGTAGATTTTTGAACTTACAGATAATGAATAATTCTGTTAGTATTTCAACCTAAATGAAAACTATTCACTCTCATTATAAGCTTGGAAGAGCCAGGATATTTTTTTTAAATGGCTCCGATTGTGTTTGTGTGAAAGAACAATGTCATATACACCTTGGATGGCTTGACGGTGAGTAAATCATGGGGTAATTTTAATTTTTAGGCGAATTTACCCTTTAATGGTCTAAACAAACTCAAGTTATTGACATTAATAATCTCAAAAGGGCCAGTTAATCGACTAGCATAGGCCAGAATAACTGCGACAAACTGCAAATGCCTGCAATTAAACTCAAAATGTGCTTCAGTGTTGTTGTTTAATTGTGATATTCTTCGTTCTCCATTTCTAGTGCTCCACTGTCGATGTGCCAAATGTTTCTCTCTCCCTGTCCGGAGGCGCGTCCGAAAGCGTGCGTCTGCCGTCACGCTGCTGTCTCTTCCCGAGGAGCTGCTCCTGTACGTCCTCCAATGCCTCTCCGCTGAAGATCTCCTCTCCGTCAGAGCGGTTCGTCGAGATGGACGCCTCCTCACAAATTCTCCGTTAACTAAAAGTGCACTTGTGATGTTGAATGTCATGTGATCCCGCAGGTTCATTCTCATCTCCGTGACATTATCGATAGTAACTCAAGTGTCTGGGCACGAGTGAGCTTCAAAGACCGCTGGCCGGCCCTCAACACCGTTTGGCTCTTTGAGAGGTATGATGTACTGCAATGTTTTTATGACTAAGTATCTAAGTTTGAATGCACTCATTCCTGATGTTTTCAATGAAATCTGAGAGATTTCTGTCTCTCAATTGAAAGTCTGATGCTTCAAAGCTAGGGATGCACGATATATCGGCCACCGTATCGGTATCGGCCAATATTTGTTCATTTTTACGTTATCGTTATCGGCCCGATAATACAATTTGGCTGATATATTAAAGCTGATAAATAATGAATTATTTCCTTCAACACTAGACACTTGAGACACTTAAGATGCACACTGTTCAACATGATTGATCTTAATTGCTTGAAATATGATTGGAATCAAAAAGGAAAATATAGTTAAGTGCAAAATGTGCTGTCATATCGGCTACATGAAATTATAATGAGAACATTATAATTGTGTGATTGGGAAATGGATTTTAATGGTTTTTGCAATCAGGATCTCAAAAATGATATAAAAATTGGATTTAGATTTATCGGCCGATATATCGGTTATCGGCTTTCAAATATAAAGAATTATCGGTATCGGCCAAAATGTTTCCCTATTCAAAACGTTCGTGAAGAAATCAATGTGAATCGAGCGGTTCATTCCAAGTCTTCAGAAGAGGCACGATTGCTTTATATGAGCAGATTTAATTTTGTTTTTATTCACATAAACATTGATCAGTTAACAACATGCCTATTACACTCAAATATGGTCAACAGAATGACATAAAGGTGAGTAATTGGTTTGGGTGTGCTAACCCTTTACAATTCACTTTGACTCAGAACGATTCGCAAACGATTCTGTATTTGATTCAAATCAGTTTGTGAACTATAAGGATATGTTATGGGTAGATACATTCACTGTAGAAATGATTGAAATGCCTTTTTTTTTTTAAGCATGCTAGTTCCTGTTTGATGTCCATAATACCACATTTTAAATGAATTTTCTCATTAAATCCCTCGACAATATCTAGGGCTGCGGAGAAAGGAAACTTTGAAGCTGCTGTGAAACTAGGAATTGCGTATTTGTACAATGAAGGACGTAAGTGTCTGTTTTTTTTTTTTTGATTAAGTGATGTAATTGTCTGGGTGACTGACCAGAGCTGTAATGACGTGTGAACGTTCCTCAGCGTCGCTCAGCGAGGAGGGTCGCGCCGATCTGTGCGGCCGCATGGCGTCTCGATACTTCAGCCTGGCCGAGAGCCTCAGGTCCCCGCTGGCCGAGCCGTTCATCTGGCTGTTCATCCGGCCGCCCTGGTCCACGTCTGGAGGCTGCTGTAAGGCTGTGGTGTACGACCGGCTCCAAGCCGAGTGTGAGACCAACCTGGTGAGCCAATCGCGGATATCCCAGCATTCACTTTCACTGCAGTTCAACACCTCAAGGCCTAGTACACAGTTTCTTTTTACGTTTCTTAGATTTTACAGCTCTTAATGCAAGTGTTAAAGGAGATCTCCGTTCATTTTTAACATTGAGCTCATTTTATTGTACATTTGGAGTGCTGTCAGTACAGACAAAAACGACAAAAATCGGTGTTGCCTACACTGTTATCCTTTTTTTTTTTTAATTCGCACCCTGTTGACTTCAATGGGGCATGTTCTAAGCCTGCTTTTATTAATATCTTTCACATCTACTGCAGTCAGATTGACCGTGGTCACTCTTAATAACACGACTCACATGGCTGTGCACTCGTAATGACAAATCAAGGATGTTAAGAGGCTAAAAGCAGGTTTAGAACATGCCCCATTGAAGTCAACAGGTTGCGAATTTTAAAAAGAGGATAACACGGTGTAGGCAACACCGATTTTTGTCGTTTTTGTCTCTACTGACATCACTCCAAATGTACAAAAAAATGAGCTCAATGTTAAAATTGACCGGAGTTCTCCTTTAAGATTTCGGAGTGAAACTAGGTATTTAATGAGACCAAATTTGGATTGGAAACTGAAAAAAAGGGTTCAGAATATTTCGTTTTTTGGTAACAATTAATTATTCATTACAAAATTCTCATTATTATGAAGTGAAAAATAATCTCATTGCCATTAGTGTAAATGATAGGCCTAGTACTTGTTATTATTTTTTTTGATCTGTGATGGATACTGTATTTAAAATAGTGTTTGGCCTTTCATAAAACAAGTAATGCATTACAAATGAATTGGTCATGGTTTAGGTTAGTTCATATTAGTTAATACATTAACTAAGCTATTGTAAAGTTTTAATGATACATTTTTATTTGTATTTTTTGTAATAAATGAGCTGGTTAATCTCCAATAATGATCATATTTTCCATAGTTTAATAATCAATGTTTCTTGAGCATCAAATCATCATATTAGAATGATTTCTGAAGGATCATGTGACACTGAAGACTGGAGTAATGATGCTGAAATTTCAGCACAATGTCACAATGTAATTTTGATCAAATGAATCCAGTCTTATCGAGCACGAATGACTATCAAATACATTAAAAAAAAAAAAACACTGACTCCAAACATAAATAAAATACACAATTGTTGATAAATATCTTTTCCTTCCAAATATTAATTTGGTTTACATTTCTTTCTCTTCCTCAATATTGTCAGAATGGGATTGTGTTCTTTCTTTTCTTTATTCCTCTCTCTTGACAACAAAATTGACGGGAATTTATATAATCATGTATTTATCCAATTTATATTGTCAAACATGACGCAGATGCCATCCTAATGTCTCTCTCTTTCTTTCTTTCTTTCTTTCTTCTTGCCTTTACAGGAACGGAGAGGGACGTTATTTTACTGCTTGGCTAGAGTCCTCCAGCTGTTTGACGTGAGTTGGTTTTATTCTGGAAAAGATGGAGATTTATTGTGTAAACGGATGTACAATCGTAACAGGTCTCATTTGTAGGGCTGTCACTTTTGTCAAAGAATCTTGATCGATTTTTGAGACATAAGTGTTCATTGAATTGATTGTAAAATCGATTTTCCTTGTTTAAACACGTTTCCAATTTAGCCAAATATAGGCAAATCCACGGACACCGCATAAGGGCGAACGTAGGCCTATAGAGGGCGCTTAAGGCGCGCACTTGAAAATATTTCATATTTTTTATTGACATGAAGCTTCGTGCACAATGACAAACAGGAGTGTAACATTCTCGGAAAAAAAATAAGCAGAGTAGTGTTGTCACGGTACCAAAATTTCAGTATTCGGTACCAATACCAGTTAAAATTCACGGTTCTCGGTACCAATTTCGGTACCAAAGCTTAGTTTAAATTTACATATATTTAAGTGTTTATCACGGTTACAAGTATGGAAACTGTACATTTGTATTATAAACACTTAGATAAAATGACCTAAAATAAACAATAGTATACACTAACACATTTTTAAAGTTGTTTGTAAAGTTTTAATCCATTATTTATTTAATGCACAATGAATTAAGTGAACAAACATGAACAATCAGGTGTTTGTAATAAATAACATTTTCAAACATTAATTAATGTTGTAAAAATATATTGTTCACTCAATGTGTTGATAACTAAGTAATGTTGATGAATGGTATCTTTGTAGCATTACCATAAAACATGTTTTATTTGACTTGACTGTCCTTTTATTTAATCTAAAACTGCATTCATATTTAATTTTAAAAAGGCTTTTTAAACCTGCTGAGTTATAAAGGCAAGAATACGCCTAGAACTGGCACTAACATTAAATGACAATACTAATACCAGTAGCCTACTCTGGTGTCGGGTGGATACTACTGTGCTCATTTACTCGTAAAACTACCCCGAAAGCACTTTAGAGGACGTTCACATGTCGCGCGTGTTTTTTAATTATATTTTTGCGCGTGCTTATTCTTTCCAAAGCGCTTGCTCTCACGCGGCGTCTGTCGTTGCTATGCAACGCCAACGAGTTTTTATTATGAGCGCGCTTGAATCGCGCCTATTTGAAATTGCGAATTTGCATGTAATCGGCCTCTTATGGCAACGTGACATTAGCCTAATCCAAAATATTTCAATATGTGGCTCTTTCCTCCTTTCGTTTCAACAAGTGGATTCAGAGAGAGAGAGCCATATCAGCGTCAAAGAGGACGCAACTGTGCACGTTTCAGACATCGCGTCTTGAACAGAACTGGATTAACCTGGTACTCGGTACCTAGAAAAGCTGGTACCGTAACATTTTTTTTTTTTTAGTACCGACTTGGTACCGAAGTACCGAGTTTTTTGACAACACTAAAGCAGAGTGGACTGCCATAACATCAATGAAAAACATTAGGATTCAACATGGCTCTGTTTACGATTAGAGTTATTATTTCGATTAGCCTACTACTTAAATGTCAAACAAATTTTGCCAACATAGGCGATTGCAGCCTGAATCTGTATGCATGAGACTTTCTGAAAACCGGCAGAATTCACATTTTTCATTATGCAGAAGTACAATTTGCTGTTATTATGTGTGTGTGTTCGCTGCGGGCATGACGTGACGAGCTGGAGAGAAGGCCGTTAAAATCGATTTCCCTATTTTCGTTTTTGATACTTGTGTTGGTTGGTCCGATCGACTGTGCAATCGATTTTCGAAGGTAAAGTGACAGCCCTACTCATTTGTAGCATCATCGAATGGTTTATACTTGAAAACTAGATCGTGAAACGTTACTAACTTCCGACATCCACAGGAAGTTGATCATTACCGTGGTTAAGCTGGGTTTGGGCTGCTTATTTGATGTTTTCTGTGTATGGGCTCAGTCAATATGTCCCAGAGAAACACTTGTGTTAATGAGTGCAGCTCCGCTCTGCTTCTCCCGTAACCCCCTCGAGTGGCAGGTGTTAACTCAATCTGTGACTCTGTGTGTGTGTGTGTGTGTATCAGGATGAGGAGAAGCGTGAGGAGGCTACGTCCATGCTGAAGGAGTCGGCTCGTTGCGGGAGCGTGCAGAGCTCGTTTCTGCTGTGGGAAATGAACCGCGGCACGTCGGTAAGAGCGTCGTGATGACGTCACTCCTGTGTTTCTGCTGACTGTGTGCTGATCGCTGGTTTGTTTCCTGTCCTCAGACCGCTGACCCTGGCCGGTATCTGCAGTGCATGCGCACACTCAGGGACTACGCTGCTAAAGGATGCTGGGAAGCTCAGGTGACTGGAGAAATGACGTTGATGTTCAGCTTTCTTTAGTGTGTAATGTTGCTGTTTGAGCATGAAAAAGGCCTGCAAAATAGCCAAGTCATCCAGAGGGAGTTATAGGTCCCGCCCTAAGTCCCGCCCCTCCGCTTCCGGCTCATGGGACCTTATTTCGGAAAAAATACAAATGGTAGTCAATGGCGAGAGACAACTTATCTTTTTATTCCGTCTGAACTGTGCCCTCAATTACACATATGATGTTTGTCAATTTAAAAGATAATCCTGAAAGTCAAAAACGTCGCAGTTTGTCTTATAACAGAAGAGTAACATTTAGTTTTATGTGAAAATCGCTCTAAGAACTACATCTCCCAGGAAGCGAAACGAGATCCGCTGCTCGTGTGTGTGCAGTCTGGTACAAAACACGGCGTAACGTTATGATTATAACGTAAGACTGTAGAAACAATGACAGACAGCCTCAGTAAAGTTAGCTTCATTCATTGAGAGAAAATGTGCGCCTTTGGGGTTTGTAGTCTTTGTAATTACGTATTTTCACAGTCTTATACCTGAACAGTTTTACATCAAACTGCGACTTTCTTTACTTTAAAATGTATCTTTTAAATTGACAAACATCATATGTGTAATTCAGGGCACAATTCAAATGAGATCAAAATATCTGTTGCCTCTCGCCATTGACTACCATTCGATATTTTTCCGAAATAAGGTCCCATGGTGGTCGACCGGAAGGGGAGGGACTTAGGCTCTCTATTCTCTATATCAGTGACATTGTTTCTGAACTCCAGTGAGTTATAGAGTTTCTTTAGGGAATAAACACCTCACAACATTCCTAATTTAATTAATTCCTGGACAAGGCATGTTTAAAAATACAGGGACTAAACTAAGGGCCGGTTGCATAAATATTCATTATGTTAAGGCAGTGTCTTAAAGGGATAGTTCACTTTAAAATTAATTTTTGGTATGTTTTAGCTTACCTCAAGGGCATCCAAGATGTAGGTGTCTTTGTTTCCACAGTAGTTTCAATTTTGATATTTTTAGGTCAAACAGTTCTTGTCTGTCAGTCATATAATGGAGGTATATGGTCACCACCTCAAAGAGCATGCACAGAGAAGTCCAAATTAAACATGATTTAATGACTCGTAAATGTAAGTACACATTAATGGCCTAAGACACGAAACGAGCGGTTTGTGTGAGAAAACGAACAGTATTTATATCGTTTTTACGGTTTCTCTTGCGGTTTATGCAACCAGCTCCTGGTTGAGTCCAGTTATGCCTCGTTTCCACTGAGGGGTACGGTACGGTACAGTACGGGTCGGGTCGGGTACACCATGATCAGGCTTGCGTTTCCACCGCCAACAGTACCCTTACCTGATAGGCGTGGTATGCTGGAAAGAAGCGATCGACGTCATTTTCGCGCGAAGAAAGCGACATAGTAAACAACAATGGATGACAGACAGTAGATCTTGTTCTCGCTTCTCGGCATGTTTGTCACTAGAAACAAGCGCTGGCATTAGGCGTTTCCAAGAAGCCAACGCAAAGTCCGACTCAGGAGAATGATCCCGAGGACGCGAGTCTAGTAATTCTGTTAATGGAACAGCGCGTTCTTGAACTCGGCACTCAGCTCGCTCTGGCTCTGCAACTCTGGTTATCTCTGTATGTTCATTTTAGGCAACAATAAAACAAAATATGTTATAAAACACCACTCTGCTTCTTTTCGATTTCATTTCAATATATTTTAAACATTCTACAGCACACAAATGTGCAACGCATAGCCTTGATTATATTTACTGCATGTAACGTTATTTATAACAAAACTATATAAAACAACCCTGCCTCTTTTCGTTTAAATTTAAAACTATTAAACATATTCCAGGCAATATGTAGCCTAATGTATTGCATAGGCTATCGCATTGGTACATATGTTGCAATAAACAACATTACAGATGATCTTGGAATAATATAAAATATGACAAAACGATCTCTTTTTGTTGAATTTCAGTTTTATCAATAATAGCCATTATAAAAGTATAAGTAAGAAGTACATAATATAATATTATATATGTATATAATACATAATATAATATAATATACAAGCTTAAATATAACATCAAGAAACAATTCAGTCAGTCAAATATACTCAGCGCTCAAAGATATGAAACTTCACGTAGCCTTCTGCCAAAACTATTGGCCAGGAAATTAATTATAGATTCACGAGACCAAAGATCATGTTTAACCACTAAAGAGACGTCCGAGTCAGCGGCAAACATCAGAACGACTAGCCGAGGAAAGGCTGTTCCAGGCGGGGGACACGAGCGCGAGCGTCCGGTGATCGCTTTTAGAATGGATCTCAGTCAAATGATCATAAATCTATAAATAAACCACAGATTTGAGCTTTAAAAAACTACTTTCTCGCCTGAAAAACTCTTAAAACTACATTTCGTGACACAATAACAGTAGAATTATACTTCAACTGTATATGCTTCTAATGCCCTTGTAGCACGCGCGAGTGACGACACTCTGTCCACCAATCAGCGTTCTGCAGTGAGTCTAGCTCCACCTTTTAGTACCCTTTCACTGTGCTAGGTACCCCAACGGAAGGGTACCCAAAAAGTGGTACGGTACGGTTCGGCTTTTTGGTACCATTCACAAGTTTTGACAGTGGAAACGCAAATAATTGCGTACCGAACCGAACGGTACCGTACCGTACCACTCAGTGGAAACGAGCCATTATAGAAGTGCAAATGCTTATGTTGAGCTGTTGTTGTTTTGTTGTTGCTTTTGTCTTTTTTTTTTCTTAACTAGCTGTCATATAACATGATAAACAATTCATGCTTTATATTTGTAGTGTAAATATGCAGTATTTTTCTTTTATTTACAACAAAAACTGTTACCGCAAATAAAAACACATCTAAAATGTGTTTAATTTTGTTCTTTGTTTGCTCAGCCATTTAGCTCGCTTTGTTTTCCTTTTTTTGTGTGAAAATGACGTCTGTGATGGAGTGCTTTTGATGAAGCATTACCAATCATCCGTCTCCATTATTCCTCCATTCTCACAATGTCAGTGCTCTGAGCGCGCGCATAATGGAAGTGCACACCCTTGGAAAGATGCGTCATCTTTCCTGTTATCACATCGGGACGTTTTCTCTGCCGTTGTTGACATTGACTTGTAATAATCAGCAGCTGTGCCAGATTGAAAGCCACTCTGATGTGTGTAAATGGGTTTGGATGGGGGCTTCGAATGAAGAGTGATGCTTTTTATGTTCGAATCTGTTCATTTGTGATGCCATATTAAACACAGATAAGGTTTGATATTTGTCTAACTTGTCTGTTCTGATCTCCCAGCTGGCGTTTGCGAAGTCATGTGGCAGCGCTAACCCTCTGGGTCTGGAGCCGCGGGCCTGCGCTGAACTCGTGGCCCAGTTCTTCCAGTCCGGGCCGTCACCCCTACAGTACCCGCTGAGTCTGCAGGGACAGGACATTACCACTAAGAGGTATCATATCAACGCCCATGTCAAAATATTCCTAAAGGGTTCACAGTCATGGAAATCCGGGAATATCAAGGGCCTGTACCATGAATAGGGTTGGGTATCGTTGGAATTTGAACGATTCTGATTCTGATTCCGATTCCTTGTTTCGATTCCGGTTCCTAACGATTCTCGATTCCGATTCTTTTAAGAGGCAGGGTCAAAAAAGTTTAGCTAACCTTGCTAACCAACGGCCTTTCTGAAGGAAATACTCCTTCTGTAAAAATACTCCTTTTGTCACAAATTTAGCATTTTGCCGAGCTTTCTTTATTTTTAGAAAAGTGGAGCCACACTTTGGATCGCCGATGTTAGCTACTCATGTTCGACTCGCGTGGTTATGCCAACACTTCCGGTAGACGCTTCTTCGTTGGTGTTGTTCAGCGGTTTCTTCTTCCGCTCGGCGGACTGTGAATATCGAAACTAGGAATCGAAATTTTAACTTTTGAACGATTCCGGGAAAAACGAAAAGTTAGTCCCGGTTCCAATCGATACTCGATTCTCGATACCCAACCCTAACCATGAAGCCGGTTTAGGTGGCTAGCTAGTAGTGCTGTAGCGGCGCGTTGATGACGTCAATGATTCGACGTCAAAATTGCGTCGACGGCATATTTTTGCGTCGACGCTTCTTTATTTATTTATTTTTTGCATGTTCCCGGCGGTACAGCTTGCCACACACACGTGGGAGACCGAAACATTGCAGAATAGAGGACGAAGACAACTAGAAGTGAATGTGCTATCCATTAAATGAATCACACACAGTAAACAAACCCTTAAGAAAAAAAATTGCAATTTAGACGCGCAAACTGGGTGCCGGTGTGGTGAGACGTACAACCTCGGGCAGATTCGGCTTGAAGTCGTTCCCGGACGCGGCGCCGCGCGCGCTGTTACAAAAAAAAGGCGTACACACAGTCAGCCACAGTCGTCCTGGTCTTGCGCACCCAACGCGTCATTTTTGCCGCGCGCACATTCGCGCTCGTGCGGACGTGTCGAGTATAAACAAGGCTTTACTCCGTGTCAGCACGCGCTCTGATCAGTAGGTGAACTCCGACTCCGTTTCCCTCCTCAGCTGATATTAATATTTAAACATTCTCTATGATAAAAAATGTTTGTAAAAAATATTTTAATAACACGGTTTTGGCAGTTGTAGAGTTATAATGATGGTGTTCAAATACATAACATTAGACTAACGTTAGCCAGCTTATAGTATCTTGATTCAGTATGCCAGTATTTATTTGAGATACATTGTTTTTTATTAATTGAGCAGCAGAAAAATATTCTTTATATTAGTCGTCCAATTTGTCATTAGATTAGTCGACTAATCGATAAAATAATCGCCCAACTAATCGTTTAGTTAATAATCGTTTACCCCAGCCCTACTAGCTAGGCAACCCTGGGTTTTAGGCACCATGAAAGCTTTTAGCAGTGTTCATCGCCATAATAACTTGCCCTCCACGGCTAACCTGGTCCGGGGGAGGTTATGTTCCAGGTAAGAGGTTGCATAATGAACTTGACACCCCCGAATGTTCACGAAATCCAGTCATAAAAAATGAATTTACTGTATAATGTGGAATTTCACAGAATTTGTCAAGGAGGAATAAATAGAAAGCGGTTCAGTACACTTCAAATCAAATCTTGATGTAGACTAGTGTGTGTGGATATTAAACCACAAAAACAATTTAAATATGAATCCTGCTTGTTCTGTGTGAATGAATGGTGCCGCCTACACACAATTTCATTTACCACAAACACACACTGAAGCACGTTTGACGCTTGTGCTGTTTTTTGGCTGTATATATGAAGACAGAAATGCATGAACTTCCTCTCCAGACTCTCTAGATCCACTCTGAAAGTCACTTCGTTATCATTAACCGCTTCATTATCATCGTGACATAAACACACAGAAACTCAAAAGGTCTTCACGGCAACCCGTCAAAATAAAAGTTCGGTTTAACTTGACAGAAATATATTACCATTGTACAGTACAATTTAGATATGTTCCAATGTAATAAGACTAACACTAATACGAATTATCATCAAAACCTTTTTAAGGAATAATCCATGTTTTTTATCTCCAATGCCTAGTGGTGGCTGAGACTGCTGAATGACTAAAGCTCTATTACAGCATTTTTTGCTGATAAAATGATGGTCTGGTTGGCCACAGTGTGTTTAGTTCTCTCTCTCTCTCTCTCTTTCTATATATATATATATATATATATATATATTAGTGCTGTCAAACGATTAAAATATTTAATCGGGATTAATCACATTAATGTCATAGTTAAATCGCGATTAATCGCACATTTTTATCGATTCTAAATGTCTTTTGATTTCTTTTTGTTGCATTATTTTTTTGCTCTTATCAACATGGGAAAGTGGATTGGCTTGTTTAGTGCAAATGTTTTTTTATTATTATTATGGAAAATAACATTGGAATAGTGTTCAATTTCACACTACAAATAATCTCTCACACAATGTAACACTGTCTATCAATAAAAGGGTGAAAGAAATACTGACGAGGCCCTAATATTGACGAGGGGGTGGAGAATTCGCATCATCTGTGTGTGTTAGGCTTGCCGCGATAGACGGTGTTGACGGTGTTACCGGTTTTAAGCCCCATCACCGGTGACATCACTTTCCCACCGTGACACTGCGATGTCTTGACTTTTTTTTTTTAAAGTATTCATTTTTGCTAAAATATTTATTTGAATTAATTAAAAATAATAATTTTCAATTATTTAGTTCAGAGGAGAGCATTATAATTAAAAATGAACTGCGCAGTGCGTGCCGTCACGTCACAGATCAGCAAGCATCAGGATTCCATTTAGCACGTGTGGAGACGAGAACGAGTCAAATTACAGAAAAGCAAGATAATGCCGAAAAATTTGGTGTCAAAACGCAATGCAAAAGCGCCTGTTTGGCAATATTTTGGCCAATATTTATTAATGTTAATAAATTCCAATTTATAGTGTTTTACTTTTTTTTAGAGTGCTGTCATTTATGTAGGCTAAGGTCCTTTTTAAAGTTTTTATTTTATATTCGTCTCTTTTTATTTGGTTTTATCTTATTTAAACTTTGTTTAATTTATTTAGGCCTATTTTGTTTTCTTATTCGTTAATAAACGTTTTGTTTGTTTGGGCCCACAGTTTGCCGATTTTCACTTTTTTCAGCCTATGCATGGGGTTATTTTTATTCATTCGTTATGCTAATAAAAGTTCTGTCTATATTTTATTTGTTTATTATTCTAATAAAAGCGCTGTCTATAAATAAAAGTTTATTGTCAGCGAGTTGTTTTTTTTTTTTTGTCCATTCCAGCAATTGACGCTGAATTGCAATTGACGATTATTTCGAAAGTGAAAGTATGTCGTTTATGTAGGCTAAGGTCCGTTTTGAAGTTTTTATTTTATATTCGTCTCTTTTTAATTGGTTTTATCTCATTTAAACTTTGTGTAATTTATTTAGGCCTATTTTATTTTCTTATTCGTTAATAAACGTTTTATGGTTCTTATTTGTTTGGGCCCACAATTTGCCGATTTTCACTTTTTTCAGCCTATGCATGGGGTTATTTTTATTCGTTCGTTATGCTAATAAAACTTCTGTCTATAAATAAAAGTTTTATTATCAGCGAGTTGTTTTTTTTTGTCCATTCAAGCAATTGATGCTTATTTCGAAAGTGAAAGTATAACGCGCACGCATTTAAAAGCTATTCAACCCCCCCGCCCTGCCCTCCACGGTGACACCGGAATTACCGGTGTTGTCACACGTCGATTAACCGGTGGGAAATTTTCCTCACCGCGGCAACCCTAGTGTGTGTGTGTGTGTTTGCTTGGCCATCATCAAGTGGTGTTTCAGACTGGACGTGCTGCGATGATGATCGCTCAGCTCACAATGACAAAACATACAGATCACCTTTTCTTGTCAATGGGACAATTTGGCAACTTTTTGAAAGTAAACTTTCCATTCAGAATCTTCTTAGGGCATCCATTTCGGCGTCTCGCGCTCGTCATCCACTCAAAACATTACCTCGCAAGCCGAAATGAGTGTGTGCGGAACAAAACGTCCTCGCACTGCGATCTGAAACCCATTCATTTCAATGGCTTGCGCCGTGCGAGGACGTTTTGTTGCTTCTTCGACCAAAGCTCAAGCGGATCTAGCTAGAACGTAAACAAAACAACAAGCACGCTGCAAACACACGTTTGGGCTTGCGAGCCGGCTTTGAGTGGATGACGAGCGCGAGACGCAGAAATGGATCAGGGCGCATGTGAAAAAACGACAAAGTTTGCTAGGACAAAAAGACTGTTAATCGCGCGATAAAAAAATGAACGCCGTTAAAATGGGTTTGCGTTAACGCCATTAATAACGCGTTAAACTGACAGCCCTAATATATATAAAGGAGTAGTTCATATATATATATACCGATAAAGGATTTTGAAGGCCGATACCGATACAAATATTTTTGGGTTTTAAAATCCGATATTCCGATATATCGGCCGATTATTTTTTTTATTATTAAATATTGTTGGATTTCACACACGTGTAAAAGAAAAGCTAACTTTTCTGCACAACATACGTTTGATAATTTTTCTCTATGTCTAAATATTCACTCCTCGCAAGTGTAACTTACATTTTACAATGCAGGGACTGTAACTAGAGATATGCTAGTTATAAATACGGTAATGATTACTTTATTTAGGCAGAAAAAGTTCATTGTGGTTTCCAAGCTCATTAATGTTAATGTTAGCGGTCTTCCACTGATGATAGTTGCATTAGCTAACTTTGTGGTTAGCTAGTCTTATGATGAGCCATAATTTAGCAATAGATAACATCATACTGCAAATTGTAAAACATACATTTTCAATATAACAGGCCAAGGAGAGATGATTGAAGCGTGTTTCGTCCGTTTTTATTTTATTTTTTGTAAATATTCATTAATCGGCCATTATAACTGCCGATACCGATATTATGGAAAATGCCTAATATCGGCCGATATATCGGTCTGGCTCTAATATTCATTGAATTACTGATTTCTTGAACAAATTGTCATTTACTTCTCCGCTTCATGTGTTAAAGTCATCACCCGTATGTTTTTGCAGGTATATTCTGGTGGACTGGTTGGTGGAGGTGGCCACCATGAAAGACTTCTCCAGTCAAGTGCTGCATGTGACCATCGGCTGCGTGGACCGCTATCTGAGCCTGTGTTCAGTGCCCAAGGCCCAGCTGCAGCTCCTGGGCATCGCCTGCATGGTGATCTGCACTCGGTGAGCAACGAGACGCTCTGCTAATCGTGCATTTGTGCCACACTAGAACTAGATCTGTAATATTATTCATGAATGACAACGATTCGGCTATGTCTTTTAAACATTCGCAAAAGTTCGTTCACAACGTATTTGCCATTAAATTATTAATTCAAGAGATTTGTTCAAAAATGCCAATTCATCCAGTGATGAAACATGAAGTCTTTATAAGTGAGTCTAGCTGTGTTTGGAATCACCCCCTATACCCTCGTTTACTGTTTCCTACATTACTCCACTAAAATAGTTCACTTGAAAGAGTGAATGAAAACAAGTGAGTGAATTCGGACACTGAGTGCGAACAAGTGAGTATGGCTGCTGCTTTAGCTTAGTTTGTGCTGTTTAATAACCATTTGAAACTTGGCAAACTGGCAGTTAGGGTTGGGTATCGTTTGAATTTGAACGATTCTGATTCCGATTCCGATTCTTACAAGAGGCAGGGTCAAAAAAGTTTAGCCAACCTTGCTAAACCAACGCTCTTTCTGAAGGAAATACTCCTTTTGTCACAAATTTTGCATTTTGCCGAGATTTTGTTAATTTTTAGAAAAGTGAAGCCACACTTTGGATCGCCGACGTAAGCTACTCATGTTCGACTCGCGCGGTTATGCCAACACTTCCGGTAGACGCTTCTTCGTTGGTGTTGTTCAGCGGTTTCTTCTTCCGCTCGGCGGACTGTGAATATCGAAACTAGGAATCGAAATTTCAACTTTTGAACGATTCCGGGAAAAACGAAAAGTTAGTCCCGGTTCCAATCGATACTCGATTCTCGATACCCAACCCTACTGGCAGTTGAACTCTATCTTGAACTCTGTCTTGGAAACTATAACCTCAACTAAACAATTTAATAATCAATTAAGGAATGTATACTTGTATGATAATGCACTGTACCCACATTGGACCAGCGGTTTGGAAAATGGATGGATGATACAGTTGTGGGCGCCATCTTCTGGTCCAGTGACTATCACAGTGCATTATGGGTATTCTCTAGCCATTGAGTCTACATCAGTTGTACACTCATTGCAGTGCATTATGGGATTTCGCTCAATAACATCCGCTATGGTTTTGTGCAAATGGCTTTTCCCTCCTATTTTAGAGTATATGGATGGTTTTTAACCCAGCCATTGAATCATTCATTCAAGGGATTTGTTTTTCATTACTTGATGAATCAAAGTCTTTGAGTGATTCTTTGAATCGTTCATTAAGATTTCTCGACAACAACAAAAATCGAATTAAATATTTTTTTTAATGGACTGGGGCAATTGACATTTTGTCAGAACCTCTTGTAAATGACATGTTGTTTTGTTTAGTCGTCCATTTCGAATCATGGGAGAATCGCCATCTCGATTCAATACAAAAAGACTTGATTCTCAGTTTCTCCCGAATCATGCAGCTTTATACTAATTAAACACCTTTTTTTTTTGTTAATCTTCTGACTCAGGTACATCAGTAAAGAGATCCTGACCATCCGTGAGGCAGTGTGGCTCACTGACAACACCTATCAGTATGAAGACCTGGTGCGCATGATGGGGGAGGTGATCTCCGTGTTGGACGGGAAGATACGGGTCAGTTCCTGAAGGACATAAGCGCCCTCTGGTCTGCATTCACTCCAGCACACACAAACCTCATTAAAGACTAGCAGCTCAGATGAATTTGTCTGAGGTTTAGAGCTCGACGCCGAAGCTGAGTGAGCGACCAACCTAGATGGCATTTTAAGACCTCGCCTCAAAATGCAAAGGTTATTCCAGAAGGCATTTAATAAGAAAAGAAAAAAAAAATATGAGCAGAATGTTGACTTTAAATGCATTTCATTCAACTTTGACCGGCAATCCAATTAAAAATGCATTATTATTTTAATTTAGTATGTGTATTAAGGCATTATTAATAATTATTTTGGTCTTTTTGCATTGGTTATTACTGGAAATTTGCATTGGTTAATACTGGAAACCTATATATATATATATATATATATATATATTTAAAATAAAAAATGTTTAAAAAAAAAACAGCTGATATTTGTTTAGGTTTCCAGTAACTGATATGCATAACCAATGCTTTCAGATTAATAATTCTTTGAATAATAATAGTCTTTTTTATGTATGCAAGCAAAACATTAAAATGTTGCGTTAAATGCGGCTTTGTTGAATGCACTTAAGTGTAATGATGAAGACGTACCTGATAACAAAAGATGGCATTTAATTAGTAAAACTGAGAATTCAGAAAGAGTACTGTAAGGTCAAACAATTATCATCTGTATCTAAGATAGAATAGATAAATATTAAGATAGTATCACGGATGTTCATGTTTTTGAACCTTAAAAGGGTTATTTTTCATTTATATTACTTATTTGCTCTCAGTGCTCAATGCTGGGGAGTTTAATTTTTTTTTTTTTCTTTGCAGTAAAAATGTCGATGACTAGTTAAAAAAAATTTTTTTACTTGACCTGCCCAAAATATTCACACAAAATTGGTCATGATTTTTGTGGGTTTTGACCCATGTAACTTTTTTTTTTTTCTTTATTTTGATTATATTTGTATTCTATTAAATAAGGTTATGACAGGTAATATAAGATATTAGTGAAATATTCGGCACAAGAAATAATGTTATACAGTTTTGAAACGACATGAGGGAGAGTAAATGACAGTATTTACGTTTTTAATGTGAAATTAATAATTTGTTACATTTATAAAGCGCTTTACGTATGTGCAGCATCCAGCTGGATTATCCTTTTAACACCCATTCATCTCATGCCATTATTTACACAATTGTAACGGCAGTGTAAATGCATTCATGCCACCTCTGAGCTGCGATAAACAGTCTGTAAATGTATCTAAAATTATCTACATGCAGCTTCTGAAAAAAAAAAAAAAATTATAATCATGGGTTTTGCAACAGTTTTTTTTTTTCCATAAAGCTACATTTTGTAATGTCGGTTTGATGCATTTCAGATTTTGCACAATAATAACTTGAAATGATGACGTTTTTGGGGTCATTTCTCAGCCAAATTAAATGTGTTAGTAATCAGCACTTCATGTAATTAATTAGATTAAAATGTTTAACCAGTTAACTGTCACCGTCCCACAGGTGGGACACTTGCCATTATATTTTTAAAACAATAATATCTTAGAAAAGACCTTAAGTAATATTGACAAACTATATATCATTTGAAAGCTTACAATCTCTAGTTTCCATATTTGGTGACTGATTTTCAAAATAATTTACACACGAGCCGTAATTTATCAATTTGCAACAAGAATATTTTCATACTCATAAAGCGTGTTCAGACCTTTATTTTGAAATAGCAATGAACATGAAAAATCATGTAAAAAAGTTAGAAACCTCAGTTTGATTTCATGCCAAGAGTTCAAAAGATAGCATCCATTCAATTATTTTAGGAAAAAAGGTCTGAAAATGTTTTAAATATTACGAAAAATTATAGATTCACCATTTGTGTTATGGCAATAAGCTATAACGCGCATGCGTGTGCTTTGTATGTGATTCCTAGAGGTTGAATTCATATCAAAATCTGCCAAACTAACCATGCTACTTCTGAATAGGATTTCTACTTCATAAATTGTGTGATATTTGTGAAAATAATGGTTCATATCACTCAAAACACATATGGAAATGGAGACGCCCTTATATGGGCAGTAATGGAGTCTGGTTGTGCCCTAGTGAAAAATTTTCGTACTGCGCCCAAACAAAATCTCACTGAAAGCTCATTTTTTTGAGATATCAACCTAAAATTTGAAACACAACTTGTTCAGATTTTTGGCTTTGATTTTTCTGCAGTTTTAGAGTAGCCCAGGTTTTGAAAATATATATTTTATGTAAAATATGAATAATTAATTTTTTTACATTGTACATTTCTATAAACTCAAACTTCTATAACTTTTTTTCTGTTTCACTTTCCTAATTTATTTCACTTCGAGAAAAATCTGCCAAATGTCTTCTTTAAAACGAGACCAATCTTAAGTCTAAATTCCAAAGCATTCTTGAATTACAACCATTTAAGATTGAAATGAGCATTTCCATGTCTATTCAAAAATAACCGGGGGGGGTGGGGGATGGGGGGTGACAGTTAAGAGGTTAATCGCTTGACAGCTCTAGTATAAAAATAACCGACTGCGTTTACAAGGATCCTCTCCATAAGTGTGTGTGTATTGTTCTCGCTGAGTGCTGAGGAATTGATTTGTGTGTTAATGTTGTGTTTCAGACCGCCACAGTGCTGGATTATGGGGAAGTGCTGCTGTCTCTGCTCCCCGCGGAGCGACGCAGTTCTCACCTCTTCAAATACATCTGTGAACTCTCTCTGCTCTGCTCGCCTCTCACCGTTCCCGGGCCGGCCAGACTCGCCAGCGCCATCCTGCTGCTCACCAGAGCGCTGCACAACTACGGTACTCCCGCCATCACACCCAAAAAATATCCATAGAAACGGTTTCCAGCTAAATATGCATTTCTTGATTCGAATCGATTCTCGTCTCGCAAGAACCGATATCGATTCTTAAATCCGATCGCAGGTTTCAGTTCACGCGTGAACTTTTTCATTGAAGAATTTACATGTGCTGTGCCGGATATATATTAATTGAAATTGAATCGTAATTGAATTGCAAGCTGGTGAATCAAAATTAAATCGAATCATGAAATGTAATTCCCGGCTGGGTATCGATTCAGATGTTCAAATTCAATTCAATTTCGATTCACAAGCTCTGTGCCGATTTTTTTTTTTTTTTTTTTTTGCCCAGCCCTACAGTGATACAATCTTAAAGACTCCCTGTAGTCATAAATTTTATCCCTTGAAACTATTTTTTTAATCATCAAAATGATACATTTACACACTTTTTCCTTGGAAAAAAAATGTCTCCATGCCTTAAATAGCTTGAATGTAACTCTACAACCTCGCCTCATTTCGTATACGCGGTTCTATGAATATTTGCAAATAAGCCCCGCCTCCACTTACTCATCGCAGCTTGTTGACGATCACACGTTGATCTGATTGGTTACAAGGTAGTTTGTGACGTCAAAACACCAGAGACTGTCTTTGATTCACCATTGCAGAAAATACTCGGCAATGGTGTTGAATTATGAATTTGCACATGGTTTGACTTAGCTTATTAAAAACGAAACATAGACATATATTATAAACATTAAAAAGTTGCGATTAATCGCATCCAAAATAAAAGTTTGTGTTTACATAATATTTTTTTGTGTGCTGTGTATAATTATTATATACATGCATGTGTATATTTAAGAAAATGTGTTATTAATATATAAAATATGTATATTTATATATAATATAGATTATGTATTTATATACTGTGTGTGTATATATATATATATACATATATATACAGTATTTATGTGCAAATAAATTCTTAAATATAAACATGCTTATGTATTCATGTATACAAAATAATTGTAGACAGCACACAAACACACACATATTATGTAAACACAAACTTTTATTTTGGAGGCAATTAATCGCAATTAATATTTACACAGCCCTAATGAATTTTAATTGAATTGAGACTTTAGGTTTTGTAATCAGGCTCTCAAAAAATGTATAAAAATTTGGATTTATTGGCCTATATATATATATATATATATATATATATAATACCAAAATGTTCATATCGGTGCATCCCTAGGCAAAACTATGCAGTTTTTCACTGTATAAATCTAGTATTTTTCTGTAAAAATGACAAATATATATATATATATATATATATATATATATATATATACAGAAAAAAATTCTGTAAAATGCAAAGAAGGGGTCCTGCATCGACTGCAAACAAAACTCAAAAGTTGCTTTGAGAAAAGTTTACGCTCACTCTAGACTAGAGGAATAAACTTGATCTTTAGTTTAGGTGACCTCAAGGTCTTCGTCTGACATCTAACTGATGAGGTTTATTCCTCTAGAGTGAGTGTCCTCTTCACCTTTTCTGTAAAGATTACAGTGTAGAACTGTGCTGAACCACTCCACTAACTTACACACGCCTTACTGAAGTTGTCCCGGTCCGTTTCTCCACAGTTCCTGTGTGGCCCGTCCAGCTGGAGGAAAACACAGGCTTCTCCAAGCAGGATCTGGTCTCCTGTGCTTTATCGCTCTACGTCAAGTGGTGAGTGTCCACGTCAGTTATCCACACCGCTGTCTAGCCTACATGCATTTCTTCCAATGACGTTTCGTGGTTGTTCTGAGTCTGACCCCGAGAGAAGTGTTTCCCCCGGGCCGGGGATGTGCGGTCAGGCGGGCGTTGTGTTAACACATTATCTGTGCTTGTCACTCTTGCCCTTTATGAGGTGCATCTCCTCGAGTTTAGCTGGTGTTAGCATGTTGCTAAGCTAAAAATATTCTCTTATTAGCAAACAAAGACATTGTATGAAGAGAATTGGGGGAAATTTCAGTACTTTTCAGTTCCTAATGGGATATATTTCTTTTGACATTTCCTATTTCCTTCTAGCGTCTTCACTGAATGTTTTTATTTAGCTTGTCGCAATGCGTTCTGGGTTTGCCTTCTAAATCAAGCACACATTAAAGGCCTTTGACTTTTCCTAAATAAGATGTAACTTTCCTGCCTACATGTTGGAAAAGACTTAAAATGCTTTCTAGATTTTGGACTAAATCAGGCAGGGACTTTTATAGCTCTGTTATTCTGTTCACATAGCACAGAATGAGATTCGGTTACAAAAATTGTAAATGTAATATGTATTATCTCTGTTTATCTTTATTAGCTTAGTTACAAAATTTGTTTCCATATTAGTTATACAATTTTGTTTTGTTTAAGAATATTTATCTTTATAAATGTTATCATTAGTTGCATGTTGTTGCATTATGGTGTTTATATTAGTTATAATAATTCTTATCTATTTATTTAGTTATTATTTTATAAAATGTGAAGGCGTCTTAAATGCTGTTTTAAAATATTATTAATCGGCATGAAAATATGACCGTTATATGCTGTTTTTAGTTTTTAAATTAGTTATATGTATACATTATAATTTTTTATATATAATGTATGAATTAGTTTCAGTATGTATTATTTATTATTATTGCTTATAATGATAATTTATGCTATAATTCATTTATAAATATATATTTAAAAATAATATTAAATATTATTTTTAATAATATAATATTATTTAATTTAATAATAAAATATTTTAATTATTTAATATATTAAATAAATATAAAAATAAATTTTAAATATAATTTATAATTTAACAAAATATAGTATAGTAATATTTAGTAATTATTCTTGCTAATAATGATAATTTAATACAACAAAATATAATTACTAGTTATATACACACAATTATTGTATATAAATACACATGCATCTATATATTTTGAGAATTATTTGCACGTAAATACTATATATATATATATATATATATATACACATATATATATATATATATATATACAAATAAATACTTATTCATATATAAAATATTTATATGTATATATAATATAGATTAACACATTTTCTTAAATGTATACATGCATGTGTGTATTTATATATACAAAATAATTATACACAGCACACACAAATATATTAGGTAAACACAAACTTTTGTTTTGGATGCGATGAATCGCAATTAATCTTTGCACGGCCCTATTATATATTTATTTTTCATCATTAATCTACTATAATGAAATGATTTTTGACTTCATGGTGTGTTTAAAGCCGGACCGCTTTGATATCTGCGATTATATTGTGGTTGTCGCACTCACCCGTCTCTTTCACTCCATTCACAGCTTCGGTCAAGATGTGCCCAAAGATTACAGACACGTGTCTCTGACGGGGGTCAAGCAGAGGTTCGAGGATGATGCGTACCAGCAGATAAGCAGAGACGTGGTGAGTGTCTCAGAGTCTGCTCTCGTTGGGTTGATCATGTGAAGCGTGTCGTCTGAAGGGTGTGTGTGTGTGTTTGTCAGGTGATGAGCTTTAAGGAGCTGTGTCAGGTGCTGGAGGTGCCGGAGGTGGAGCCGCAGGTGGAGGAGTCCAGCGCCAGCAGTCAGATCACAGAGATGCACACCTTCCTGTCCTCTCCCGCCAGCAACAGCAAGAGGTGTGTGAGCCAAACACTACACACTGGATGAATCGCCTCATGTCACTGTTTTAGCCATGGTGTTTGACAGATTAAAAGCATGATTAGGATATGGACACCAAGACAGAGACTTGACAAATGTCATTCACTTCTGTTTCTAGGGGGCGCTATAACCTCGAGATAATCCTGTTAACCATTAAAAAGAAAACTGACATTTGACACCAATACAATTGTTCACTTCACATCTACACACTATGTTTGATCTGTTATTCTATTACACTCAAAATATAAGGACATATCCTGATCATTTAAAAATAAAGTGTGTTTAATTTCATATAAATATATATATATACACACACACACACACACACACATATATACACAAATATTTTATATAGTTTTTCAATGATTAGTATCTGGCTGTATGTCTGATATTGATGATATTTTTAACAGTAATTCGTATATTGTTATTTATATTTTATTATTAAAAGATACGGATCATTGAATATGTCTGATATTTAGAGATAATATCTTTTTAATTAATTATAGGGCTGTCAAACGATTAATCGCATCCAAAATAAAAGTTTGTGTTTACATAATATATGTGAGTGCACTGTGTATAATTATTTTGTAAATATATAAATACACACACATGCATGTATATTTAGGGAAAAAAAATAGTATTTCTATATAATATAAATCTATATACAGTATATACATTAAAATATTTCTTAAATATATACAAGCATGTGTGTGTATTTATATATATATATAAAATAATATTTATTATGTAAACACAAACTTTTCTTTTGGATGCGATTAATCGTTTGACAGCCCTATAATTATTTAGTATTTTCATTTTAGCGTGAATGTCGTTATTAAATAAAACAAAAAAGATCAGCCGTCATACGTTACTATTCATATAAACATTTTGACACCTGCAAATAGCTAAATAGTTGCATCTGTATTCCTGTTATGTTTCTCACTTTTCTGCTCCTCGAAGAACGTGTTTGGTCAGATGTGTGTGGAGAACAGACTCTTTAAATGGGTTTTGATGTGTGTGTGTGTGTGTGTTGAGCAGGAGGAGGGAGGACAGCATGCAGGCGCACAGGGGCAGTTTCCTGGCCACTCCCACAGCCGAGCTGTCCAGTCAGGAGGAGATGCTGCTGGGAGACATGCTGGACTGGAGCCTCGACACCTCCTGCTCGGGGTACGAAGGAGACCGCGAGAGCGAGGGCGAGAAGGACGGAGAGGGTGAGATGACATCATATTCTGAATCATCTTATACTAAAACATTAAGACAAAACCAATTGTCATTGATGCGTGAAGAGTCACACTAGTGTCACAACATTGTTGTGTTATTCAGCTAGCATGATTAGTTTTGTGAGTGCTTAGTTTTAAAGAACAACTTTTTCAAGAAATTATCCTAATGTCATTCCAATTCTGTATTTCTCTATCTCCATAAAACATGCCCCCCCCCCCCCCCCCAACTCAAAATGTTGTTACAAACTTCATTGATTATATTAATACTTAAAGAAATTAAATGACAAAAATAATACATTTTTATATAAATAAAATCAGTGTATTTTTATTTAAATTATTAAAATAAGTAAATATTTAATTCAGTTGTTATTTAATTTAATAATAACATTTAATTAGCATCTCATTAATTGGAAAAATATTTAAATTTAATTATTGAAATGATTATTTCACTGTTAAATGATTTAATTAAATTATTTGTAAAATCTTATTTTACATATTTAAAAAATAATTTGATAATTATTAATTAACAAAAATATTTCAATTGAATTATTTAAATTATTATTTCACTGTTAAATGTTTAATTTAATTATCTATAAAATCTATTTTACATATTTAAAAATAATTTGATAATAAGTAGTAAAAATATTTAAATGATTATTTCACTGTTAAATGATTAATTTAATTATTTATAAAATCTATTTTACATATTTAAAAAATAATTTGATAATAATTAATTAGCAAAATATTTAAATGATTATTTCACTGTTAAATGATTAATTTAATTATTTATAAAATCTATTTTACATATTAAAAATAATTTGATAATAATTAATTAGCAAATAATATTTAAATTGAATTATTTAAATGATTATTTCACTGTTAAATGCTTAATTTAAGTATTTATAAAATCTGTTTTACATATTTAAAAATAATTTGATAATAAGTAGTAAAAATATTTAAATGATTATTTTACTATTAAATGATTAATTAAATTATTTATAAAATCTATTTTACATATTTAAAAAATAATTTGATAATCATTAATTAGCAAAATATTTAAATGATTATTTCACTGTTAAATGATTAATTTAATTATTTATAAAATCTATTTTCCATATTAAAAAATAATTTGATAATTAATTAGCAAAAATATTTAAATTGAATTATTTAAATGATTATTTCACTGTTAAATGCTTAATTTAAGTATTTGTAAAATCTATTTTACATATTTAAAAATAATTTGATAATAAGTAGTAAAAATATTTAAATGATTATTTCACTATTAAATGATTAATTAAATTATTTATAAAATCTATTTTACATATTTAAAAAATAATTTGATAATAAGTAGTACAAATATTTAAATGATTATTTCACTGTTAAATGATTAATTTAATTATTTATAAAATCTATTTTCCATATTAAAAATAATTTGATAATTAATTAGCAAAAATATTTTAATTGAATTATTTAAATGATTATTTCACTGTTAAATGCTTAATTTAAGTATTTGTAAAATCTATTTTACATATTTAAAAATCATTTGATAATAAGTAGTAAAAATATTTAAATGATTATTTCACTATTAAATGATTAATTTAATTATTTATAAAATCTTTTTTACATATTAAAAATAATTTGATAATCATTAATTAGCAAAAATATTTAAATTGAATTATTTAAATGATTATTTCAATGTTAAATTAATTAAATTATTTATCAAATCTATTTGACATATTTCAAATTAACAAAAAATTATTTCAAATTTAAAAAAATATTATTTTTTTTTCTAAACATGCGACCGCATTTGAGAGTTGTGTTCCTCACATAAGCCTCAGCTGATTTTGTGCATCATGCAAGAAAGAATATAACACAATGGGAGAAAAAAAATGAATGTAGATTTTCATGGCCATTCCTTTTAAATTTCATTATGTCTGTGTTTGAGTCCCATTCATAAAGTTTGACTGTCTCTCTCTCTCTCTGCCTCAGTCTCGGTGATGGAGGTGCAGATGGAGCTGCCGGTGGAGAGCGCTCAGGGACACTGTTGCGCTCTCTCCAGCGACGACAGCCTCTGTGAGGAACCCAACGAGGAAGAGGAGGAGACAAGCAGTCGAAGCAGACCCTGGACACGCCACATATCCTCCTCTTCATCGGGCACCTTCTGCACGGACCGCCGCAGCTCGGGCTACTCCTCCATCCAAAGCGTTCCCAGTCCGTCCGTCTCCTCGTCTCTGGTCTCTCCGCAGAATCTGTCCGGTTTCCGTCTCCTGCTGCCGCCCGCGCCGCGGACCCGCCGGCAGGTGAAGAGGAAGAACACCGCGGCTCACAGCGGAGGAGAACGAGACGAGCGCGACGAGGACGACGCCAACCTGGCCTTCCTCAGCCTGTGATCGGCAGGAAGCTGCTGTCCCTTAACGCATCACTTCCTGGCCGTCCCGCCAGGAGCACTTTCGTTCACGGGTGGTTTTATCTCAAAGGGAACGGGCGCGAGTTCGCGACCATTTCTGAGCTTGTTTTTAAGTACGAACAAAGGTCATGGTTTTTTCTTCCCATAATGCATTTCACCTTAGCTCAAGCCTCAAGTGTCTTGAAATCACTGGAAAAAAAGTGTTGTGTACGTCGTGTTGCGTCTTTAAAACTGGACTGTTTACAGAAACTGACTATTGTAGTTGATCAAATGTGCAAATATGGGCTTTTTTAACGAAGTTACACGCAGCCACGGGGGAAAGCGACCCGACCCATGAAGTTTCCTGCCGATTTATGCACTGTCCGAACCGAACTGGTTTGTTTACGCGGATGTTTCTCGCCACGTATCTCGATTATTTATCTCCAACTCCAGTGTTTTTTTTTGTATTCGTGCATTGCTTTGCGTTCGTCACATCTTCTGCCAAAGTTCCTACGTTGCCGATTTTCATAACGTTTTCTCTTTCTGCTTGTGAGACCACTGATGTTTTGACCTGTGAAACGTGTACAGTACGTCTGTATCAACTCTCCACGCGTATTTTTTAACGACAGATCCGATGAATGTGATCGTTTGACATGCTTTTTCGTAACGACCTCGAGAGACGCCGAGCACTTTTTTATGACCAATGCTGGAAAGCGAAATGATGCTTCGTAACGAACGAGTCTCCATTGTTTTATCTTTGATATGCTTGAACAATCAACCATACGAATATATATATATATATATATTTGTGAGTGTTCATCTGATTGAGGTTATGACACTAAAAGCATTAAGTTATTATTTTTGTGCAGGTCTTGTTGGTACTGTATGTGGAACATCACTAAGGATTGCGACTGTAAATAATTATTTCTTGTTTATAACTGTAAATAAATAAATGTATGAAGCTGTGAAAGGTCATGTGAACTTGAAAACAGACATGTGTTTGTTATACTCTGAAAACCACAATTAAACAATGCAGTAGTTACATTTGCATGTCTACAGGGTTTTTTTTATTATACAGATGGGAACTTGTGGTTTGCACGCTTTCGTTGCATTACTCATTTAACACTATTTTGATTTACTCTTTAAACATCACACTTTAATTAGCACAGACATGAAGATTTGTAACACTGGTTTGATAAGGAGCAATTGCTGGTCAAATGGTTGTTAAAAGATTAAAGATGTTATTTAATTGTAAATAAAAATGTAAAGATAGAAAACAAAAATAGACTATGTGATTTACATGTTTTTAAAACTGATAAATGTACATTTAGAATATGCAAATTGCCTGACGAGATATTAATGAAGTGTTTTTTTTTCTAATTTTAAAACTTCAACTGAAGTAGCAATACAAAAATGTGTATAATAGTAAGTTTGTGTGTGTGTGTGTGTGTGTGTGTGTATACAGACACATACACACAAACATAATGTATATAAATATATATACACATGTAAACAAATTTTAATGTTAGGTAAGATTAATCGTGATTTACATGTTTTTACAACTGATAAAAGTTACAATATGCAAATTGCTTGATGAGATATTAATGAGGTGTTTCTTCTACTTTTAAAACTTCAACTGAAGTAACAACATTTGTATAATAGTAAGTTTGTTTTATATATGTATGTATGTGTCTGTATGTATATATATAATTTATATAAATATATATACACATTATGTAAACAAATTTTAATGTTAAATAAGATTAATCGTTATTAATCGATGTGACAGCACCGTATAGATAGCACACGTAGGTCTGTAAGATGTCTGCTAAAGATCTGTTAATCTGGAAAGCTTTTGCTGAGTAAAAACAAAAGATAAATATCTTAGAAAAGCAGAATATTCTAAATCTTAAACATCTTAAAGACATCTTCTAAATTACATAACGGGAAACGTCCTAGTCTAGAGATGTATCGCAGATACAGACGTCTCCGAGATGTATGTTTGCACTATCATGCGTACGCACACATACACAAAACACGCGCGCGTATTTTTGTATGTATATAATAGCCAAATCAATTAATAAAAACATGACAACGTAATTGTTTTTTCTGTTAATTTTAAATTCAGAAGTTATGGCCGGTGACATTTTTGCGTCTGTCACATCGGTCACATGACCGCTTGCATCCGCCCAGCTGGCTGAGGTCACGTGACTGTATTTGTTGTGTCCAGACGGCACGGCCGCTGCGCTGCAATGTCATCATCTTCCTCGTTATTATCGCCCCAATGAGTGATTATTCCTGATGGAATTCGTCCGTGACTGAGCCGAGCTGACTGCGAACATCAATTCAATGCTTTCCGACTGAAAGAGCGGATATATAGAGCCTTGTGCAGGACAGAAAAACAGACGAGTGGAAGGTGAGCTGTGGGCGAGCACGCACGCGCGCGCGCGCGCCCGCCTGCCTGCCTGTTTGTTTTCTCTTGTGTTTGTTATGCTGTGGGAATTGGGTTGAAAAACCAGTTCTTTAACCAATCACAACACAAGATCGTCGCAACGACCAGACTAAAGAAACCGAATAAAACTGATAGAGGGAAACAGCGTGATGCATGTTTGATGTAAAAACAGACAGCTGTGTTATTTCAAATAAAGAAAAGGAAAAGAATACACTACATAGAGGCAGACACCAAAGCTGTGTCATCAATATGATGTCACTACTACCGCGTCACAGTGATGATAACCCTGCCGTATGTTTAATAACGACACGCATACATACTACAATTGCTAAGTTGTCTATGCATATCAATCAAATACCCGACTGACACATTTAAACACAAAGCTGTATTTTATTTCATGTCAAATCAGGTGATATTTTAATCTGAGTATTGATATGGGAAATGACGTTCCCCTCAGTGTCAATATGGTGGTTAAATGGCCTCTTTAGTGCTTAACAATATGGCATATGTTCACACTTTCTCTTGATAGGACCACATTGTCTAGTCAAGTCACCTTTATTTATATAGTGCTTTTACAATACAGGAAAATAATGCAACAAAGTTGGTTTCTGCCGTACAGCAGATCTAGAAGAAAATTCAGTGATTAAATGGTTAATTTTTATTGCAAAACAAGTGTATATATATATATATCGTCCTGGTGAAAACCGTGATGTCATCCCTGTGCAATCACAACTGAGATAGCAGTTAATTGTATCAACTTCTTGTTTCTTATCTGAAACATGAATATTATAGTTATTCTGTTATCCCAGAATGTAGTTGCGAAACACAGTGAAACTCCAGCAATAGCTCTGATATGGTTTTCTTTGCATTTCTTGAGCAGTGACCCTGATGTTCACTTTTCTGTTGGTCCAGGTTGTGAAGTTCTGCGGGTGGAAAATGGCCGTGTTGCAGCAGTTTGGATTGCTTCTGTGGAAGAACTACATTCAGCAAGTGAGTGCTTGATTTATCATTGCAACACATGTGCTGATGTTCTTCTGTTTTATAAGGTTTTATGGCAATGATATACGCTAGTTTTCAAAGCTTTGGCATCAGTAAGATATTTTCAGATTTTTAAACATTACTTTTATTAAGTTAAATTGCTCAAAAGTGACAGACAGTAAAGACATTTATAATGTTACAAATAACTTCTATTTCAAATAAATTGTGTCTTGAGCATCAAATTAGCATGATTACTGAAGACTGGAGTAATGATGCTGAAAATTCAGCTTTAACGTCACAAGAATAAATTATATTTTAAAATATATTCGCATAGAAAATTTTAATTTGAAATAGTATTTCACAATTTTATTGTTTTTACTGTATGTTTTAAGCAAATAAATGCCATCTTGATGAGCAGAAGAGACTTCCTTTAAAGAATTTTTAAAAAAATTATACCAACCTCAAACTTTTGAACGTTAGCATGTAACATGTAAGGCAATACGTTATAAAGCCCACAAATAATGGCGTCAGAGGTGCTCTGTGTGATAAAATGCTGTTTTGGATAGTTGTGCTATTGTTTAGAACCAGGCAACCAATCATAAACTCCCTACAAACTTGCCTTTATATGAAATATTAACGTGTTTGGTATATAATCGTTCACGCTGTGTTATGATTCCTAGCATGTTTTAGAAGAGTGTTTTGACAGATGGACTAAATGGGTTGCATGCATTTCTCGGCACGCTCCGATGTTAGTAAATCGTCCAAATATGAATGTGAAGCCCGAGGTGTAGCCTACATTGTGAAATATTTCAACTACCTAAAATGAATCCTTCAGGCCAGGGTAAAGTATGACAATGTGAAACATGCAATGAGATCCGCTGATATGATTGTAAAGCGCTTTGGGTGAACAGTAATATATGAATGTGCTATATAATATAAATGCCTCATCCATCCATCCATCCATCCCATCCCAGGATTGTTTTAACCCAGGGTTAAAAATCACCCTAGGTTAACTATTTCCACGCTAGCATAAAAAAAAACAAAGTTGTCAACCACCGCCAGCATTTTTGGTTATTTTGATGGAAGTTTCATGGCCCCCAGAATATTTGTGGTAACACTTTACAATAAGGTTCATTAGTTAACATTAGTAAATGCATTAACTAACATGAACTAACGATGAGCAATGCATTAGTTACAGTGTTTATTAATCTTTGTTAATGTTAGTTAATACAAATACAGCTGTTCATTGTGCGTTCATGTTAGTTCACAGTCCATTAACTAATGTTAACTAATACAACCTTTGATTTTAATAACGTATTAGTAAATGTTGGAATTAATATTAACTAAGATTAATAAATGCTAAAGAAGTATTGTTCACATATTGTACATGTTAACTAATGTAGTTAACTAATGAACCTTATTGTAAAGTGTTACCATATTTTTTTGTATGAATATCTGAACATGCAATATATCAAAAGACAGACCAGCCCCTCTGCTAAAAAAAAATATTAAAATAAAAGTATTCTAGCGTCATGCATTTTTTTCAAATCAAAAATTGAATGTGGGTAAGAATGTGGGTAAGTTTCATCATTGATTTATATGCTGTTGAATGTTGATGATTGTGCTATTTTCCATATGCATATGATTACATATGAGATTGCTTGTTTCTGCATCTTCTTCGCCTGTGTTTGATCTGGGGATTCAGTTCTCTTTCAGAAGATGTGTAATAGTGCCCCCTACCGTATAACACTGGAAACACAAAAAGCCAGAAAATTCCATCAATGGTGGGGAAAGAGTTAATTATTTAAAGCCTACTAGAGTGAGTTTGGTCTGAAAAGTGTAGAATAAATCTATAAAGACTGATTCTTGAAACCTGATAGTTAGGGTTGGGTATCGAGAATCGAGTATCGATTGGAACCGGGACTAACTTTTCGTTTTTCCCGGAATCGTTCAAAAGTTAAAATTTCGATTCCTAGTTTCGATATTCACAGTCCGCCGAGCGGAAGAAGAAACCGCTGAACAACACCAACGAAGAAGCGTCTACCGGAAGTGTTGGCATAACCACGCGAGTCGAACATGAGTCGGCGGTCCAAAGTGTGGCTTCACTTTTCTAAAAATAACGAAATCTCGGCAAAATGCAAAATTTGTGACAAAAGGAGTATTTCCTTCAGAAAGGAGTATTTCCTTCAGAAAGACCGTTGGTTAGCAAGGTTAGCTAAACTTTTTTGACCCTGCCTCTTAAAAGAATCGGAATTGAGAATAGTTAGGAACCGGAATCGAAACAAGGAATCGGAATCGGAATCAGAATCGTTCAAATTCAAACGATACCCAACCCTACTAATAGTATAGTTCAGATGCTACAGCAAGACGCAGAAGCAAATCTATTTTTGAAGAAACCAGGAAATGTTTCAACTAGTTTGCGGCGGATATAAAGACACAACCCAAGGCTTGGTGCACAAATGTAATCATTAACCCCATTCACCTTATTTGCTGTAATGATCTAACTCGCCGGCTCTTTTGGGCTGTTGAATAGCTTTAATGTGCCTTCCTGTATTTGGCCTCAGATTAGATTTCCGAGTTTCTTGTTCAGTTTTTTTTACCGTGGGTGTATGGCTTTGATCATATGTGTGTTATTATTTGTCGGACCTTTGCTCTGCACACTTGTGGATGTTTGCTGTCTCGTGTAAGATCATGTGAAGGTGAAGTGTATCAGAAATGAACTCTCTGAACAATCAATTGAGCTTGATCAAAGTGCTTGGAATCGTCCCGATTCCCTGGTAACAGAGGGTGTTGCTGGGAAACCCCAGTAAACACTGGTCCCCTTATGCCTCATTATAGCAGACATATAAAGCAGATTAGAGCCTTCCTGACCCAGTTCAGAGGTCGAACGCTCTTCATCGACCCAGATCAAGCCTCAGGTGCTGTGTGGGCTTCTGCTTGTTTACACATGAAGCATTGACATGACACTTGCCCCCGGTTTCACAGACGAGGCTTAAACTGAAATGCATGTTTGAACTGTTTTAACTGAATGCAACTTGCATTGATATCTCTTAAAATAGGTCAGTGCCATTGTTTTGTCTCAAGATGCACACCAGTAATGTGTTTTTATAAGGCATGTTTATAAAAGCCACTTAAATGTCTCGAACCAAATTGAACCAATGCCCTTTACGTTTTGTCCTCTGTCCATACGGTCAATACATTTTATTTTATTATTTTTTTATTTAAATTATTTTATTATTTTTTTATTTTAATATTTATTTTATTTTAATATTTTTATTTTATTTTATTAAATTTAAGTGTTTTATTTGATTAAATGCTTTTATTGTTTTTTCTATTTATTTAATTATATTATTTTTTTCCATTTATTTATTACATTTTATTGAATTTTATTGAGTTAAATTGAATTTTATTTTTAAATCAGCCTAAAAGTGTAGAAGTATATTTATTTTATTTTATTTTTCATTTTATTTTACAACCATTCACCCATCCGTTCACCCTTATCTACATATCCATCCATCCATCCATCCTACCTACACCCTCATTGACCGTCTTCTGTTTTACTCATTGACCATCTTCTGTTGTACTCATTGACCATCTTCTGTTGTACTCATTGACCGCATTCTGTTGTACTCATTTGTACTCTGACCAGCTTCTGTTGTACTCATTGACCATCCTCTGTTGTACTCATTGACCATCCTCTGTTGTACTCATTGACCGTCTTCTGTTGTACTCATTTGTACTCTGACCAGCTTCTGTTGTACTCATTGACCATCTTCTGTTGTACTCTGACCAGCTTCTGTTTTACTCATTGACCATCTTCTGTTGTACTCATTGACCATCTTCTGTTGTACTCATTTGTACTCTGAACAGCTTCTGTTGTACTCATTGACCATCTTCTGTTGTACTCATTGACCATCTTCTGTTGTACTCATTGACCATCTTCTGTTGTACTCATTGACCATCCTCTGTTGTACTCATTGACCATCCTCTGTTGTACTCATTGACCATCCTCTGTTGTACTCATTGACCATCCTCTGTTGTACTCATTGACCATCTTCTGTTGTACTCATTGACCATCCTCTGTTGTACTCATTGACCATCCTCTGTTGTACTCATTGACCATCCTCTGTTGTACTCATTGACCGACCATCTTCTGTTGTACTCATTGACCATCCTCTGTTGTAATTATTGACCGTCTTCTGTTGTACTCATTGACCATCCTCTGTTGTACTCATTGACCATCCTCTGTTGTACTCATTGACCATCTTCTGTTGTACTCATTTGTACTCTGACCAGCTTCTGTTGTACTCATTGACCATCTTCTGTTGTACTCATTGACCATCTTCTGTTGTACTCATTGACCATCTTCTGTTGTACTCATTGACCATCCTCTGTTGTACTCATTGACCATCCTCTGTTGTACTCATTGACCATCCTCTGTTGTACTCATTGACCATCCTCTGTTGTACTCATTGACCATCTTCTGTTGTACTCATTGACCATCTTCTGTTGTACTCATTGACCATCTTCTGTTGTACTCATTTGTACTCTGACCAGCTTCTGTTGTACTCATTGACCATCTTCTGTTGTACTCATTGACCATCTTCTGTTGTACTCATTGACCATCTTCTGTTGTACTCATTGACCATCCTCTGTTGTACTCATTGACCATCCTCTGTTGTACTCATTGACCATCCTCTGTTGTACTCATTGACCATCCTCTGTTGTACTCATTGACCATCCTCTGTTGTACTCATTGACCATCTTCTGTTGTACTCATTGACCATCCTCTGTTGTACTCATTGACCATCCTCTGTTGTACTCATTGACCGACCATCTTCTGTTGTACTCATTGACCATCCTCTGTTGTAATTATTGACCGTCTTCTGTTGTACTCATTGACCATCCTCTGTTGTACTCATTGACCATCTTCTGTTGTACTCATTGACCATCCTCTGTTGTACTCATTGACCATCCTCTGTTGTACTCATTGACCATCCTCTATTGTACTCATTGACCGACCATCTTCTGTTGTACTCATTGACCGTCTTCTGTTGTACTCATTGACCGTCTTCTGTTGTACTCATTGACCATCTTCTGTTGTACTCATTGACCGCATTCTGTTGTACTCATTGACCGTCTTCTGTTGTACTCATTGACCGTCTTCTGTTGTGCTCATTGACCATCCTCTGTTGTACTCATTGACCATCTTCTGTTGTACTCATTGACCATCTTCTGTTGTACTCATTTGTACTCTGACCAGCTTCTGTTGTACTCATTGACCATCCTCTGTTGTACTCATTGACCATCCTCTGTTGTACTCATTGACCATCCTCTGTTGTACTCATTGACCATCTTCTGTTGTACTCATTGACCATCCTCTGTTGTACTCATTGACCATCCTCTGTTGTACTCATTGACCGACCATCTTCTGTTGTACTCATTGACCATCCTCTGTTGTAATTATTGACCGTCTTCTGTTGTACTCATTGACCATCCTCTGTTGTACTCATTGACCATCCTCTGTTGTACTCATTGATCATCCTCTGTTGTACTCATTGACCGACCATCTTCTGTTGTACTCATTGACCATCCTCTGTTGTAATTATTGACCGTCTTCTGTTGTACTCATTGACCATCCTCTGTTGTACTCATTGACCATCTTCTGTTGTACTCATTGACCATCCTCTGTTGTACTCATTGACCATCCTCTGTTGTACTCATTGACCATCCTCTGTTGTACTCATTGACCGAACCATCTTCTGTTGTACTCATTGACCATCTTCTGTTGTACTCATTGACCATCCTCTGTTGTACTCATTGACCGTCTTCTGTTGTACTCATTGACCATCTTCTGTTGTACTCATTGACCATCTTCTGTTGTACTCATTGACCATCCTCTGTTGTACTCATTGACTGTCTTCTGTTTTACTCATTTGTACTCATTGACCATCTTCTGTTGTACTCATTGACCATCTTCTGTTGTACTCATTGACGCATTCTGTTGTACTCATTGACCATCCTCTGTTGTACTCATTGACCACCCTCTGTTGTACTCATTGACCATCCTCTGTTGTACTCATTGACCGACCATCTTCTGTTGTACTCATTGACCATCCTCTGTTGTACTCATTGACCGTCTTCTGTTGTACTCATTGACCATCCTCTGTTGTACTCATTGACCGTCCTCTGTTGTACTCATTGACCGTCTTCTGTTGTACTCATTGACCATCCTCTGTTGTACTCATTGACCATCCTTTGTTGTACTCATTGACCATCTTCTGTTGTACTCATTGACCGCATTCTGTTGTACTCATTTGTACTCTGACCAGCTTCTGTTGTACTCATTGACCTCTGATGTACTCATTGCCCTCCTCTTTCTCCCGGTCTCCAGAAGCGTCAGATCCTGGTTATGCTGGTGGAGGTCGCGCTGCCTCTGCTCTTCTCAGCCACCCTGATCATCCTGCGGCAGAACGTGTCCGTCACCACCTACCCGGATGCAACACGCTACGACAGATTCCCTTTGAGCGACTTGCCACGTCCGCTGTGCTTTAAACAGCTGCAGCTGGCCTACGTGCCCTCGAACGCCAGCGTGGTGCGGGGAATCACAGAGGACGTCCAGCGGAGCCTGGGAAGCTGCATCAGAACCAGTAAGAGCTTCAGCTTCAGTGTATTCATATCAGCGTATTCACAAAAACTCATCATAGCTATGGGCAAGAGTATGGGCTAATCTTGTTCCCATACATCAGACTTATTGCAATAAATATTTTATTAATACTGCCAAAAATAATAAAAAGTAAAAAGATTTCCATACATTAATGCAATAAATTGTTCACATTGTAAACCTGCTCAAAGCAGGACTTTTTATTTTAATATTTTTTTAATGACTTTATTGCAACTCTATGCAACAAATTGACTACATGGAAAACCTGGAATAAACATATATATATATATATATATACATATATATATATACTACATATATATTTATATATATATATAAATACACATATATATATATATATATATATATATATATATATATATATATATATATATATATATATATTAGGGCTGTCAAACGATAAATCGCAATTAATCGCATCCAAAATAAAAGTTTGTGTTTACATAATATATGTGGGTGCACTGTGTTTTACTAATTATTTTGTATATATGTAATGTAAATACACACACACATGCATGTATATTTAATAAAAAAATATTATTTATATGTAAAATATATATATATAATAAAAATTATATATAAATCTATATACAGTATATACATGAAAATATTTCTTAAATTACAAGCATGTGTGTACATTTATATATATAAAATAATTATACACAGTACACCCACATATATTATGTAAACACTTTTATTTTGGATGCGATTAATCACGATTAATCGTTTGACAGTCCTAATATATATATATATATATATATATATATATATATATATATATATATTTAATTTCCAGGTACTGTCAACTTTTAAAAAGTTATATATTGTTTATGCTCTTTTAATTGTGTAGATATTGCTCCTCGTTAGTGCCATTTTTTAAATTAATATTCTTTGTCTTAAAAGCATTAACAGTCAAAACTAATTCAAACTTTGAAGAAGAAAAAAGTCAATATTCCATGTTGTTACCGCCTTTAAATTGCATCTCATGAGAGCAATATCTTTCAAATCTTTCTTTTCTATATTTATTGATATTGCATGTCTATCCGGAAATCATAACCAAGTTTGTTGGTCCAAAAGTGTGTGAGGATCACTGATCTTTAGTCTCTTCAGTGTGAGTTTACAGTTGACATGCGAAGCATCTCTTGAGTTTTGTGAATGAATAGCATTATGACCTCTCCAAAAACCTCGAAACAGCTTCTGTCCGACCCTTGACTTCTCATGTTTATGAGCTGTCATAAAGTCCTGCAGCTGATGACTCGCATAATAGACGTTTCTCTGGCCTGCGTACTGATAATGGAGGAGGACGTCCATAAACTGATGCCACAACTTTGACTGTAAAATGAACTGCTTTAATGGTGGTAAAGTGCTGTGTAATATTCACAACTGACTGAACATACTGGTTTAAACGAGTCTGTGCTCAGCCAATGAAAGTCTGTGATTTTGACATTATGTGGGATAGCTGAGAAGAGGAAGTTTCAGGCAAATGCATAATTTATATGAAATTGCAGAGCTATGAGTTGAGGTTTATTTATATATATGGACATGACGATAGTGATGACTTAAGGATAAACGAGTGAGTCACAAGTTATTGATTCTGTGGGTCATTTGACCAAATTAATTTGACTGGTTTGTGAGTCTTTAGGACTGTTTCATTTAAAATAACAGTTCATTATTTGTTCATGAGCAACACTGCTCACACTGACCGTATCAAAGACAACACAATAGAAATATATTCTGTCTATTGTCTTTATATTATTATGTAGACCAGACTGCACATTCAGGGCACGTTTACACGACAGCGATATGCTTAAAGCTGAGACGTTTTTTCTTTGAGTTTTCCGCGGACAGACTGACGACACCATTGTCAAAACAAACCCCATTCACACAGATCGGCAAAAACGACTAAAAACGCTGTATTCTACTGCCAGGCCACTAGATGGCGATGAAACACTATAGACTGAACATGTAATACGCACATGCATGGCGTCATCGCGTTTTTGCGGTTTAAACGGAGACCGTTTTCAAGTTTGCGTTTTTTAGGCCCCCAAAACGTTTGTTGTGTAAATGAACGGCCAAAACGCATAAAAAATTTAACGTTTTTAGTTGAAAACGCTGTGGTGTAAACGGCCCCTAAGAAATAATATCATATATTTTGCCTTGACACTATAGATTGTCGCAGGATTATTTTAGGTCTCCAGAACCACTGACCAGAGTTATTTTAGTATTATACTCTTATATAGTATAAAATATAGTATTTAGTAGTATATAAAATACTAATTTAGTATTAAAGTTAGAGATGCCACAGATTTTGGCCGGTACTGATAATTCTTTTATAATTGAAAGCCGATTTTTTTTTTTTTTTTTTTCAGAGCCTGGTTACAAAATTAAAGTCTTGCTAGTAAAATCCATGTACCAAGCTCACAATTATAATGGTCTCATCATAATTTTATCTAGCCTTTATGACAGACTTGCTCTGAAATAATCTATTATTTATCGGCTTTAATATAGCGGCCAAATTTTATTACCATGTCGATAGCTATAACATTAAAAATGAACATATAGGCCGATACCGATATGGTGGCCTAAATACTAAATACTAATACTATTTTTATATTATTAATATTTTGAATATGGTTTTATATTTTTAGTTTATATTTTTTATTTAGCTTTTTCTTTTTTTTAAACATTTTCTATTTATTTTTACTTTATTTTGAGTAATTTAGTACGTATGTAATTTCAGTTAGTTGCTAGTCTTTTAAGTGCAAGTTTTTCATCTAATATTCATATATTACTTCAGCGTTGTTTCAATGAACCCAATTGTTATTATTTATTTTTTTATTTAACAAATAAAATTATTGTGGCCTAAATACTAAATACTAATACTATTTTTATATTATTAATATTTTGAATATGCTTTTAGTTTTATATTTTTAGTTAGCATTTTTTATTTAGCTTGTTTTTTTAAACATTTTCTATTTACTTTATTTATTTATTTTTTGAGTAATTTAGTACGTATGTAATTTCAGTTAGTTGCTTGCTAGTTTTTCATCTAATATTTATATATTACTTCAGCGTTGTTTCAATGAACCCAATTATTATTATTATTATTTTATTTTTTTATTTAACAATATCAAAACCACCACTAACGAATTCTGTGTTGTTAGTTTTTAAAATCTGCAAATGGTTCAGAGCTAGAACTGGTTACCGATTTCCAGCCATAAATGAATTTAATCAGCACTTCAAAAATGACTTAATTTCTGGTTCATCTTTATTCATTTTGCTGGTAACTTCACAGTAAGCTTCCATACAGTATGTTAACATTTGTCAAATACATACAAATCAAAAGTAGGATCTGTGGATATTATTTAGCTCACATGAGCCAACATGAACTAACATTGAACTGTTGTATTTGAATAATTAATGTTAACGAAGATAAAAAAATACTGTAACGCTTGAGTTGCTCATTGCTAGTTACTGTATTAAATAATTCGTTAATGTTTACATTGGCACATGTAGCACAGATGTGTCCCGGTTGTGTCGACTGGATTTGCTTGTTGATCCTGGTTTAACCGGCTCAACTGGTGTCTCCTGTTTATAGGCAGACACTGTATCTCTCACAAATAAAGTAATGTGAGAACATTTGATTACATGTTAGATGAACGTTTGACCTACAAATGAAAACTGCTATTATGTATTCACCCTCATGTCTTTCAAACCCATGTGTGTTACGTGTTTCTCTAATAGTGGCATATCTTCATTCAGATCTTTCCAATAACAACAATTTCTAGAGTCCACGTCTGTCAAGCTCCGCAAAGGACCACTAAAGTAGCGTTTAATAAAGTGGTGCGTGGGTGACGTCAAAACTCAGACGACTGATCCGCCACTGGTTCTCTCTAGAGATTTTCCTATGGGGGTTTTATGAGGAAATAAGGCGTTGAACACAACTGACGATTTACGTTCACAATATTCCGCAGTGTAAATTACACACGCCCACACCACAGGCGTTCTTATCTAGTTGCTTAGAAACATACATTTAAAAAATCAAAACAGCATTGTGGAGTAAAACACTCAAGCATCGTCAGGACGTGTTTACCACAGACCTTATTTTACTCATAAATTCACGAATCTCATTTTAAAACCCCATATGGGAAATCTTGAAGGAACCAGACGCAAATGAGTCTTCCTGTTTTTGAAGTCGCCCCCGCTATATCCAAAGAATAAAACATTAACGAACGCTTCTCAAATGTATCTAATTTATTTTTGCGCAAAAAACAAAAAGACGTTTTATTGGTTTATAACAACATGAGGATTAGTAAATAATGAAACACACTTCATTTTTGGTTAAATATTATTTAAAGAGCCTCATTAACCTCTCTCTGTGTGTGTGTGTGTGTCTCTTACTCTGTGTGTGTGTGTGTGTGTGTGAGAGAGAGAGAGAGAGAGAGAGAGAGAGAGAGAGAGAGAGACAGACTCTATTTGGCGTGTGTGTGTGTACTTGCACAACTATCTTAAATATAGTTGTCCTCATAAATATAGATGTGTGTGTTGATTGTATTTAGGCCGTAAATCCCAGTCGTGACCTGGCTGAAGTCCCAGTTTTGCCGAGTGTCTCATTAGCGTTTCCTTTTAACAACATTCTGTGGAAAAATATACCTAGGGGTCATGATATCATTATCGCATGTTTACTGCAGGCTGACACACATCCAAAAATCAATTATGTTAAAGGTCAAATGGTGAGCCAGTGTCCACGCAGCTCCTTTAAAGGTCACATGGTTGCTTGAAATGGCTAAATTTCTTATCGATTGATCTATTTTTATCAGTTTAACCCTCAAACTTCCTACGCACTGAATTGATCGCATATATAACGATATGAACAATTGGCATTTGTTGGAGAAATATGTTTTCTTTGCTTAAGTGTGTGTTGTCTAGGTGTTGCCAAGGTGATTTGCTAGATGGTTCTGGCGTGGAAAGAGGCCTCGCTCGAGTCTTCGATGTTTAAGTATGAGCTGTAGTAACTGTGATGTATGTGTCGTCTTGTTTTCCAGTCCGTGGATTTGAAACCGAGGAGCAGTTCGAGGAGTTTGTGAAAACTGACCCAGAGTCAGGCAAGATCTTGGCAGCCATTGTGTTTGAGCATCCTTTCAGCCACGACGATGAGCCTCTTCCTCTGCAGGTGAGACTTTCAGACCCGACGGACATTAGCGTTCCTCTGAGCTGACAACCAATCACGGTCTTCCTGTCAGCCGAGATCAACCTGTACAACTGCGTACCGAACGCTTGTGGATGAATCTCATGAAGAAATGTTCATGCGTTTCACTTCAACATGAGAGGGGAAAAAATGCATTACACCATTTATTATTACTTAAATACAAGTAATTTAATTACAAATTAAGTGTATACAATTTTTTTAAGCTTCTTTTGAAAATTAAGCTTAATTTTCATTTCATTGTAATATATTTGCAATAATTTGCATAAATAAACATTTGTAATGCAATATTAAACATTTTTCCCTCAAATTCTCATTAATTCAAAAACATTAATGCCACGGAATGAAAAATAAAAAGGTAATTGCGCCTTTTTTATCACACAATTAAGAAATTGGCAAAAAATAAAGTCAGAATTGCGAGATATAAAGTCTGAATTCTTTCCCTCTAAATTAGACTTTATATCTCGCAATTCTATATCTCGCAATTTTGACTTTTTTTCACAATTCTGACGTTATAACTCGATTCTGACTTTATCTCGCAATTCTGACTTTATATCTCTCAATTCTGAGTTGTCTCTCAATTCTGACTTTTTCTCACAATTCTGACTTTATTTCTCGCAATTCTGACTTTATATCTCGCAATTCCAACTTTCTCTCAATTCTGACTTTTGTCTCGCGATTATGATTTTATGTCTCGCAATTCTGAATTTGTCTCTCAATTCCAACTTTCTCTGAATTCTGACTTTGTCTCGCAATTCTGATTTTATGTCGCTCAATTCCGACTTTGTCTCTTAATTCTGACTTTGTCTCTCAATTCTGAATTTGTCTCTTAATTCTGACTTTGTCTCACAATTCTGAATTTGTCTCGCAATTCTGACTATTTCTCGTTATATCTCGTGATTCTGACTTTGTCTCTAAATTCTGACTTTGTCTCTTAATTCTGACTTTGTCTCACAATTCTGACTTTATTTCTCGCAATTCTGACTTTGTCTCGCAATTCTGAATTTGTCTCGCAATTCTGACTATTTCTCGTTATATCTCGTGATTCTGACTTTGTCTCTAAATTCTGACTTTGTCTCTTAATTCTGACTTTGTCTCACAATTCTGACTTTATTTCTCGCAATTCTGACTTTATTTCTCGCAATTCTAACTATATCTCACAATTCTGACGTTATAACTCGCAATTCTGACGTTATAACTCGCAATTCTGACTTTATATCTTGTAATTTGACATTATAAGTCACGATTCTGATGTTATAACTCGCAATTCTGAAAAAAAAGTCAGAATTGTGAGATAAAAAGTCACTATTATTATTTCAATTGTTTTATTATGTGGCAAAACAAAAACAAAACAAACAAAAAAAACATAATATATTAATAATAATTCCAAAACGGTTTTATTTTTTAAATTAAAAAACAGTGTAAATTGTATTTACCTTTCATTTACATATTTATTTTTTTATATACTTTTGTATTATTTTAAATATAGTATATGTATACTTGATTTTAGTGCTGACAATTGTGGGAAAATAATTGACAAAAATGATCATGATCCAAAAAAATGGGATTAGTTTTACATATGCAAAACCATTTTCTTTTGATTTTGGTTTGCAATATATAGCGGGTTCTTGTCAGTTGTTGTTAGCGTCTCGTCTTTAACTATGATTACTGTTACTAAGGAAGGAAATGTTCTTTTCTGAGCATTTGAGGACAAAATAACTGGTTTTTCACAGCAGTGAAAAGTGCAGAGTGCAAATCTTGCCTTCAGAATCAGGCTTAAGTGCTCCAGCAGCATTTGCCCTCAAACCATATTTGCTCATGTCTCGGGCGCCTGCCGCGGTTTCAGACATTTCGAGATGCACTTCTTGAGTTTCCTCCATGTGTCTAATGTAAAGATGAGGTCTGGTCTCTTCTCATAAGGACATGAGTGAATCATCTCTCATGATAAAAGCTCGCGAGTCCCTCGCTGAGGGTTTAATGTGTGTACCGCACATCTGCATCGATGGTGAGGGCGTTTCTGTGTATAGGGTTCATCAAAATGTTGTTTTTATAACACTTAACATAAGATTGGTTTTACGAATGATTCACACACAGAGATTTGTTTTCCTCTTGTTAAATGAAACCCGAAATGTCACAGTGTTTACAGATTTACATATATTTCCAGTAGACTGAAAGGTGCGTTGTTGTCTTTGATTAATTTAATGTTTGTCTGATGAACTGTTGTCACTCACCTGGGAGTAGAAACCCAATTGAATTTTATTCAGATAAAAACAAGGCTGTGTGTGTCTTGTCGGTCACATGACGAAACATTGGAGAAGCAATTTTCAGTGGATAAAAAGACCTGTGAACAATCAGGGCTGCATCTATTCATCAAAATAATAATTGAATTATGAAATACTCAGTATCGTTATTTTACAGTAAAATTTTACAACGGATAAAATTTTATATTAGTAACACAGTTTGTCTTGAATTTTACAGGTAAATTATAACAGGAAGATTTATTATTTTGATATTTAGTTGTATTAACAATAATAATACTAATAATAATTAGTATTAAATACTTCTTTATTTACCGGTACACTGAAATATTACAACAGTCCTATTACAACAATATTTGTATTTAGTACTGTAATAACAATAATGATAATAATAGTTATTATTGTTATAATTAAATATATTAAATAAATAATATAGTATTTTTTTCAGTTAAATATTATTATAGAAATTTTTCATTTTAAAATATTTTTTATATAATAATAATACTTATTGTTGATGTTAATAAAATAATTACTAAATGTCCTTATTTTACTGAAAGATTGTTCATGTTTAATATTTTTATTTAGTAATTTCTATTATTATTATTATTATTATTAAATGCTCCATTTCGATATTTTACAGTTAAATATCACAACAGAAATATTTCTCTTGTTTGATATTTTGATTTAGCAATATTAATAATAATATTATTAAAATAAATACTCAATTTCTTTATTTTATAATTACATTTTACAACATAATGATTATATTATTATTATTATTATTATTATTATAATATTATTCTTAGTTTATAAATTTTATTATTTTATTATTATTGATAACAATTTTATTATTTTTTGCATTTTATTAAAATTTATTATTTTATAGTCATTCTTTAAATTTACAGGTAAATTATAACAGGAGGATTTCTTATTTTGATATTTAGTTGCAGTAACAATAATAATACCAATAATAATTAGTATTAAATACTTCTTTATTTACCGGTACACTGAAATATTACAACAGTCCTATTACAACAATATTTGTATTTAGTACTGTAATAATAATAATGATAATAATAGTTATTATTGTTATAATTAAATATATTAAATAGTATACTTAATGGTCTTTTTTCCAGTTAAATATTATTATAGAAATGTTTCATTTTAAATTATTTTTTATATAATAATAATAATAATAATAATACTTATTGTTGTTGTTCATAAAATAATTACTAAATGTCCTTATTTTACTGAAAGATTGTTCATGTTTAATATTTTTATTTAGTAATTTCTATTATTATTATTATTATTATTAAATGCTCCATTTCGATATTTTACAGTTAAATATCACAACAGAAATATTTCTCTTGTTTGATATTTTGATTTAGCAATATTAATAATAATATTATTAAAATAAATACTCAATTTCTTTATTTTATAATTACATTTTACAACATAATGATTATATTATTATTGTTATAATATTATTCTTAGTTTATAAATTTTATTATTTTATTATTATTGATAACAATTTTATTATTTTTTAAATTTTATTAAAATTGATTATTTTATAGTAATTTTTATATAAAGTCTCGAAATATTTGGCCAAATTGTTTAGTCCTGTTTTTTAAATTTATTTTATTTTTTTTTTATCATATTTAAAATCACAATCTGAATATTTATACACATTTAGCAGCCCTAAAAATAATTGTCATTGTAGCAAAAGACACACTGAACCCATCGAACCCCTCACAGCGTTGTTAATGTCAAATGAACTGTAGCATGTGCTCTGAAGTATATACTGAGCAATATTCAATATTATCTGATGTGGTAACCATAAGGTTGCCGGTTCAAACCCGTAAGAGTTGCTTGATGTGCTGTTGATCAAGACAGAGGAGTAATAGATGAGCTCGTAAGCCACTTTGTACACAACCCACATGCTAAATAACCCTTGATCTCATGTGTGGCAGGTCAGCTATCATCTACGCTTCACGTACAGCCCCCGAAACGCTCCGGCCCGTGAGAAGTCCGAGTTCAACCCCAACAATGACCTGGACTGGCACACGCTCAGCTTGTTCCCGCTGTTCCAGCTGCCCGGGCCCAGAGAGCAACACGAGCCGCACGGCGGCACGCCAGGTCAGTCGGCACTCATGCATTGTGGGAAATGTTGGTGGTAAGGTAACACGAACCCAAGTCAAGTCAAGTCGCTTTTAACAATTCAAATTGTTTCAAAGTAGCTTTACAGTGATAGGAAATGAAAGTTATTGTCCAGCTAAAATACGTTTTTTGATTGATTCACTTCCGTAGCAAAGTTATTAACCTAGGGGGCGCTAACACGACTCAGTTTTAGCTGAAAACAGAGAACTTGTAATGCGTTCTGGTCATTCATTTGCATGATAGTGGTTTTTAGTGGCTCGAGAACACAAACTTTGAAATGGTTGAAAGTTTTGAAAACATTTCGTAAAACGTTATCATCAGTGTAAACTTCAAAAACGTGAATCTGTGAAAACGCTGACGACGTGCACATGCATATTACGTGTACAGTCTACAGGCAAGCGCATTTTAATATGTATGTGAGCAGAAGCGTAGCCTTTCTTTACAAATGGACATCGCCAAATTACTTGTCTGGCCTTCATAATACAGATTTTTTAGTTGTTTCCGTGGATAAGCAATGTACAGGTAATCGATTTTATGTTAAACTACTGTAAAAAATGCATGCAAAATGAGTCAATACATGCCTTTTCTTGCAAGGGTAAATCTCTAAATGCATGTACACTTCCACTAAATATTTGTTTTTTATGCATTAACCCTTCACCCGTCACCCTCCTTTTTGATAATTGACTTTAAAATGCACTATACAAACTTAAATGGTTGTAATTCAAGAATGCTTTGGAATATAGACCTAAGTTTGGTCTTGTTTTAAAGAAAACAATCAGCAGATTATTACTGAAGTGAAAGCACTTCAAAAAATGAAAGCATGAAAAAGTTATGAAAGTTATAATTTACAGAAAATCAAATATACTTTATTAATATATTTTTAATATAAAATAAATATTTTGTTTTACTATAAAAATACTATAAAATGAAAGCTATATATCTAACCAAGTTGTGTTCCAAATTTAAAGTTGATATCTCAAAAATTGAAGTTCCCATGAGATTGTGTTTAGGCGTAGTACCAAAAATAGCCACCGGGTGCCATTGAAATCCATTGAATTTAATTGTATGCATTCTGCCATAACAAATGAATAAATTTCTGTCCAAATATCACATCTGTCACTAAATATGGATCCTTGAGACTCAGACCTTTCTACAATATATGTTTTGTCAAGATTAGAAAAGGTTTTGATAATAAATTATGAAAGATGATGCCCAAAAGGGGAGGGGCCTAATAAAAAATACTGTTTCTATGGTAACGCAACGTCCAATTTCAAAACGGTCTTCACAGGATGAATTCTGAGTTCGTAAGCTTTCAAATGATACCTAATTTATAATAACGACTAAAATATGTGATATAATTATAATAAAAAAATATATTATTTATATATTATAATTTTTAGAGGACTTCTTACCTTACTTTTTAAAATATAATTGTATCTATTTTTGTATTGACAAATGCTAAGTATGTTTTTTATTAACTTTTAGCACTAAAAACCAAAGTTTCAATTATTAAAAGTGCGTGCGTCGACTTTTTGTGACAAATGTCAGAATCTCCTGTAATGACGTTGATTTTTTTTTTTTTTTTTGAGGCGCACTCTTGTCATAAATTCATATATTACTGTTCATTCATGATTTGTAAGAAAAAACAGCGCTTAAATATCTTTTTAGGAGTCTTAGACATTTCCAACGATATATAGTTTGTCATGACTTGATTAGGATTTAATAGTAATATAGTGAAGTCAATTTAGTGACAGTTAAGGGGTTAAAATATGTTTCAAAGCTAACAGCCACAAAACTACATTACATTGAAAAGATACGACGTGCAAATTAGACCCGGAAACTTCTTAATGTGCGATTCGTTCTTCCTTGAACAGACTTGATACCATCTTTACAGTCAGTGACCGTTTACAGATGAGATAAACCGGCCTGTTCTCTCTTCTCTGCTTCTTTAAACGATCTCTTCCTGTATCCGAGGCGTCCCGTGATCCCGCTCGCTATTGATTAGGAAGTGATTTGGTTGGTTGGCATTCCCTTTGCCTGACGGCCTACAGTGTTGCCGGCAGCAGCGTGTCTGTTATTAATAATCATGAGTGCTGCGTTAGTGTCTTGTCTGATCTTTGATGGCTGTCAACCTCTATTTTTGGTACAGTGCCCCCAAATTACAGCTTGATCTCTGCTTCCACGACTCTTCCCGCTTCAACGTCAGCCTTTCATCTGCATTTAACTGCGTTGAGTTGCTTTATACTGGAAGTGCTAAAGACCTCAGAGCTTTTATGATTTTTGATCTTCAAGTATGGCATTATAGGAGCAGCGAGGACTTTTGAATGAGTGTCTAACCTTTTGAGATAGATGTTATTTATAAGTTTAATAACACCTTCATTGATATGTGTTTTTTTGGCTATGTGTCTGATTTGTAGATTGTACCCCCCACAAATAGGTTATTTATATTTCCCGTTCATTTCCTATTGCTGGTCATTTTTGACCGATAAGAACTAGGGCTGTCAAACGATTAATCGCATCCAGAATAAAAGTTTGTGTTTAGATAATATATGTGGGTGTATATATATATTTTTTTTGTATATAAATACACACACACATGCTTGTATATATTTAAGAAATATTTTCATGTATATACTGTATATAGATTTATATATAATTTATATTATATATAAATATAAATAATATTTTATATATATAAATATTTTTTAATATTAATAATAAATTTATAAATAAATACATTTTAAATAAAGAAATGAATAAATATATTTTTTCTTAAATATACATGCATGTGTATATATATATATATATATATATATAAACAAAATAATTATACACAGTGCACCCACATATATTATGTACAATGTTTTATTTTGGATGCGATTAATCAAGATTAATCGTTTGACAGCCCTAATAAGAACACAAGAGGGATATTTTTTAAGAGCATTTAGCATTTTCAAATCATGTGTGTGTGTGTTCGCATATCTAGTGTGAAGTAGTAGTAGGGGTGTAACGTACATGTATTCATCCCGAACTTTCACGGCAGAAGAAGAGACGATCTACGCACCAAAAACAATAGTTCAGATGGCACGCAACAGCTTGCTAGTGGCTTATACGCTGAGTTTCAATTCATTTTTGTGACGCGCTCCGCAAAATTGATGGAAAGAAAACCGGGATGGCAGAAATCGGCATCCTGTTTGTTTTCTTTATTTTACAAAAGTACATTGTTTTGTTTTTATTGTGCGTTTCCAATGATGCTTACTCATCTATGTACAGGACCATAAATGACGAAGTATTTAAGGTTGTTTCTGCTGTTGTATTGAGTCAAAATCATTAGACATTGTGGTGATTTGTGTCGTGGAGTGAAATATACGCGTCTAGGAAATGTGACTCGGGTGCCGCTTCACTCGCCTTGTGTAAAGCGGAAGTAGGCTCAGATGTAGATGCCACTTTTTGCATTGATCTTTGCGTATCCGCCATCGTCACCGCATGTTAATGAACTCAAAGAAAACGACAGCTTAGCTGAACACGTAAATCAAACCCGTAAGTTTGAAAACAGTCGTTGAATTGTACCGTACAGCATTGGCCAATCTATCAATTAGAGGAACAAATCAACAATTCCTTAATTTTTATTTTAATCAGTCATTAATCTGTCTGGGCTGGACATGTAGGCTAAAAAAATCGATGAAAAAATCTCGTATCGAATAGGGATGGGCAACGATTAATCGCGATTAATCGCATCCAAAATAAAAGTTTGTGTTTACGTAATATATGTTTGTGTAGTGTGTATAATTAATTTGTGTATATAAATACCCACACATGCATCTATATATTTAAGAAATATGTGCATGTATATATTTTATATATATATTTATTCACAATTAATATTATATATAAATATAAATATTTGATATTTATTTGATACACATTTTTCTTAAATATATACATGCATGTGTGGGTATTTATATATACAAATTAATTATACACACTACAAACACATATATTATGTAAACACAAACTTTTATTTTGGATGCGATTAATCGCGATTAATCGTTGGATATCCCTACGAACCATTAAAACAAAAACGGAGGTACGTGCCAAACTGTGACTTCCGTGTACCGTTACACCCCTAATATATATATATAGCATTTACATTAATCGTTCCGTTAAAACTTCTCTATTTTTCAATCTGAAACCTGTTAAATCATCATGTTTACAGACATTTTTGAGTTATTGTTTGTGGCGTTGTGTATTGTAAAATTGGATCAAATTTTTACAAAAAAGAATGTTAGTGAGTGCATTTGTTTTACTCGTAAATAATATACATGTTAAAAGTATTTCAGTCTTATGACTTTGCAATAGAAACAGTGGATATTTTAATGTTTACAGTTTGGCCACATTCGTTTCCATTGTAAGTGTTTTTTTTGTTGTTGTTGTTGTTGGTAGATTGTACCAAACTGAACCAAACTAGATTTGAATCAAACCCAATTTTTGTGTGTTCCCCTCAGATTAATTAAAACATTAAAATAAAATGTGGTAATCCACATTATGCTATCAACGAATGCTTTAAATAGACTGCTGAAGTTACGACGTCACTCTGTAGGCCAAAACGCGGAAGTGAGTTAGCATTTTAGCACATTTCGCTGTAAAGTCTATGGGATTTTCGAATGGGTTTTTGCTAAATCGCCTGAAATAAGGTCTGTGGTAAACAAAGCCTCTAGATATTTTCACGTTTTGATCTATGACATCGAACACACAGTATTAACCTGCTTGTGGTTTTTTTAAACTTTCTTGTGTCTGATTGTGTTTTTAAAAACTTTATATAGGCTTCAAAATGCATTTTTGGATTAACTTGTAAAGATTATCTTGATAGACAAAACGTGTAAGGGTCACAACCCTTTGTTAAACACAGATCTCATTTTTTTTTGCGAATTTCCAAAAGTCTATGGGAAAAATGCATTGCTTTTCAATCGAGGGAACCCATGCGCCGCTAACCTCCGAGTTGTCCTACAAAGTGATGTGATCACTTCGGCACTCAATAGAGAGCCTAAGTCCCTCCCCTTCCGGTCGACCACCATGGGACCTTATTTCGGAAAAATATCGAATGGTAGTCAATGGCGAGAGGCAACAGATATTTTGATCTCATTTGAATTGTGCACTGAATTACACATATGATGTTTGTCAATTTTAAAAATACATTTTAAAGTAAAGAAACTCGCAGTTTGATGTAAAACCGTTCAGGTATAAGACTGTGAAAATACGTAATTACAAAGACTACAAACCCCAAAGGCGCACATTTTCTCTCAACGAATGAAGCTAACTTTACTGAGGCTGTCTGTCATTGTTTCTACAGTCTTACGTTATAATCGTAACGTTACGCCGTGTTTTGTACCAGACTGCACACACGAGCAGCGGATCTCGTTTCGCTTCCTGGGAGATGTAGTTCTTAGAGCGATTTTCACATAAAACTAAATGTTACTCAAACTGCGACGTTTTTGACCTTCAGAATTATCTTTTAAATTGACAAACATCATATGTGTAATTGAGGGCACAGTTCAGACGGAATAAAAAGATAAGTTGTCTCTCGCCATTCATATTTTTTCCGAAATAAGGTCCCATGAGCTGGAAGTGGAGGGGCGTTACTTAGGCTCTCTATTGAGCATAACTTTAACAGAGCTCAGAATATCCATTTAACAGAAATCTCCTCCATTCATTTGGTTCTCCCATGGACCATCTCTTTCTCTTCGACGCCTCTTGACAGGTTATTTCCGCGAGGGTTTCCTGCAGGTGCAGCACGCGGTGGATCGGGCCATCATGAAGGCCTACAACAGCACGACTGCGGCGGCCCTCTTCAAGCAAACGCAAGTGCTGCTCTCCCGTTTCCCTTACCCAGCGTTCATCTACGACATCTTCATCCTGGCCATCCAGAACCAGCTGCCCCTGCTGCTAGTGCTCAGCTTCACCTACACGTCTTTGAACATCGTGCGCGCGGTGGTCCAGGAGAAGGAGAGGAAACTGAAGGTGATGAACGTCTGTTGAAAGAAACTAGATCATGCTGGTTTTGATGCAAGAGAACTAACTCTGTAATCGTCTTGTGTGTGTTGCAGGAGTACATGCGCATGATGGGTCTCAGTAACTGGTTGCACTGGAGCGCCTGGTTCCTCATGTTTTTCCTCTTCCTTTCCATCTCCGTCTTCTTTGTCACTGTGCTCATCTGTGTCAAGGTAAACAGAGGCACATTGGTGATACAACCTGTTCTTTCAAAAGTACCTGCTTCTAGAAATGTTTGCATTTCTTTGTTTGTTTTAACTCTTTGACAAGTAAACTTTAGGGTTGAGAATTGAGAACCAGTTTATGCACCGATGTGAAAATTTTGGCCGATACCGATAATTCTTCAAATTTGAAAGCCGATAACTAGGGTTGGGTATCGAGAATCGAGTATCGATTGGAACCGGGACTAACTTTCCGTTTTTTCCCGGAATCGTTCAAAAGTTAAAATTTCAATTCCTACTTTCGATATTCACAGTCCGCCGAGCGGAAGAAGAAACCGCTGAACAACACCAACGAAGAAGCGTCTACCGGAAGTGTTGGCATAACCGCGCGAGTCGAACATGAGTAGCTTACGTCGGCGGTCCAAAGTGTGGCTTCACTTTTCTAAAATTTAACAAAATCTCGGCAAAATGCAAAATTTTTGACAAGTATTTGTGACAGAAGGAGTATTTCCTTCAGAAAGACCGTTGGTTAGCAAGGTTAGCTAAACTTTTTTGACCCTGCCTCTTAAAAGAATCGAAATCGAGAATCGTTAGGAACCGGAATCGAAACAAGGAATCGGAATCAGAATCGTTCAAATTCAAACGATACCCAACCCTACCGATAACCGATATATCGGCCGATAAATTTAAATCCAAATTTTTATCTAATTTTGAGAGCCTGATTACAAAAACAAAAGTCTCACAATTAAATCCATGTCCCAAGCGCACGATTATAATGATGTTCTCATTATAGTGTTGTCAGACAGATTTGCGTTGTACTTCTTGTACCGAACCATATTTTCATTTTTTTTAAAGAGATTTCAATAATATTTTAAGAAAATCCAAAACATAAACAGTGCTCAACAAGTGTCTCAGCCGAAGGGAATAATACATTATTTATCGGCTTTAATATATCGGCCACATTTTCTTACCAGGCCGATAACGATAACGTTAAAAATGAACATATATCGGCCGATACCGATATGCTGGCCGATATATCGGCCATATATATATATGACCCTTTTTTAAGATGTTATTGTAGTTAAGACAAGTTAATTGTCTCCTCAAAAATACAACAAGAATCACTACATATTTATGAATCTTTGTGATTATAAGCTAATAAAACTGTCTGTCGTAAGATCATGTCAACAGAGGTCCATTAAATAATAATAGCTGATACAACTTTTTGATTTTAGTGAATATTGAGATTAACATAAACTAAGATTAATTAATGCTTTAGAATTATATTTCATTGTTAGTTCATGTTCGCTAACGTTGTTCACTAAATTCACAGAAAAGCAAAACTAAAAATCTGTTAAATTAGCAGATAAGAAATAGGAATAATTGCTAACACAAAGCTTAAT